GTAGAGCATCAGCTTTGAACAAAAAAAATAAGGGACAGTGCCCAGGCTTTGAGTTCAAGCCCCAGTACCACCACCAGCAGCAGCAGCTGCAGCAGCAACAACAACAAAACCCCCAAAGACTAAGTAACAGTGCTGGAATGTGGCTTAGTGGCAGAGTGCTTGTCTAGCATGCATGAAATCCTGGGTTCGATTCCTCAGTACCACATAAACAGAAGAGCCAGAAGTGGCGCTATGGCCCAAGTGGTAGAGTGCTAAACTTGAGCAAAAGAATCTCAAGGAGAGTGCCCAGGCCCTGAGTTCAAGGCCCAGGACTGGCAAAAAAAAAAAAACAAACAAACCAAAACTACGTAATAGGTGTTTTGAAGGATGTAAAGAAATCAGAAAGGGTAGGATTATAAAATGATGTAGCTGCTCTAGAAAACTGCCAAAATGTTGAACACTCATATGACCCAGACATTCTTCACCATCAGTGTTCATTGTATAGAACTTCAAAGGTGCCCCCCCCACAACACACACACACACACACACACACACACACACACACACACACACACACAAAGGGTGGGGATGTGGCCCAAGTGGCAGTGCCAGCCTAAAAGTTCAAAGCCCTGAGTTCAAACTCCAGTACTGTCCAAACAAAACAAAAACCATGTTTTAGAGTAGTACAAATCCAAATTCATTAATCAGAAAAAAAAAAAAATTTGAGTCAGCGTCTTATGGTGCCCAGGCTGTCTTCAAACTCTAGATGCTCCTGCTTCAGCCTCCCAAGTGCTGGGATTACAGTCGTATACCACCACACCTAGCTAAGAGAAAGAAATCTTCCATCAAAATTTACATTAAGTTGTCAAATCAGTAGCCCTCTCCCTTTTCCTTCTAAAATTCATTATTTCAACATTTGTGCCAAGAAGTTAACTTACAAATAAACCATAAGGGCAAATGTACTATGCCAATCAAATATCATAAATATTAAGCAACAGCCAACATTAATATTTAAATACATTATCAGTGAACTTGTACTCAGAATGTTTAAAGGTGTTATGCTACAAACAACATGCTAAGACTAAAATTGGATAGCTTCTAGATCATGTGTTTGGCCATATTGGCACTCTCTAGCTAATTCCAAGTTGTCCTTCAGGTAGCAGCTGTTGGAAGGTCATGCTATTTTTATTGGTACAAAAGCTAAGTACATCTTAAAAATAGACAATATAATTCCCTGAGTATTTATTGACAAGTAGAAAGTAAAAGATTGTTAAAATCAATAAAAATTATTAAGTTGTAATCATTGTGTAAACTGAGGTTTTTAAAACTTATACTTGAATTACATCCCCAGACCTTTTAGTTTTGTAGTTCATTTGTAAGATCATGTGCTTTTGCCCCAGCTGGTCTCAGACTATAATCCTCCTATTTCCAATGTAGCTTAGTTTACATACATGAACCACCACATCAGCTTCTTTCGTTTTTTTGTTTTGCTTTTTTTTTTTTTTGCCAGCTGTGGGGCCTGAACTCAGCTCTTCAGCTCAAGGCCAGCACTCTACCACTTGAGCCACAGTGCCACTTCCAGCTTTTCTGCTTATGTGGTTCTGAGGAATCGAACCCAGGGCCTCATGCATGCAAGGCAAGCATTCTACCACTGAGCCACCTTCCCAGCCCTTAGCTTGTTTTTTGAGATAGGGACTCAGTTTTGCCCAGACTGGCCTCAAGCCTCATCCTTCTTCTCTACCTATCTATCCAGGATTGTTTCATCACTACCAGCCCAAAGCTAATGCTTTCCAATGATCATGTACTTATAAATTTTCTAGGGGCTGGGAATATGGATTAGTGGTAGAGTGCTTGCCTAGCATGCATGAAGCCCTGGGTTCGATTCCTCAGTACTACATAAACAGAAGAAGCCAGAAGTGGTGCTGTGATTCAAGTGGTAGAGTGCTAGCTTTGAGCAAAAAGAAGCTCAAGGTCAGTGCTCAGGCTCTGAGTTCAAACCCCAGGACTGGCCAAACAAAAAAAAAAAAAAAGGTTTTTCTAATATAAAAGCCACTGGTGGCTAACACTTGTAATCCTAGCTAATCAGGAGGCTGAGATCTGAGGCTCAAGGTTTGAAGCCAGTCTGGGCAGGAAAGTATGTGAGGCTTTTATCTCCTAACCATCAAAAAGCTTGAAGTGGAGCTGTGGCTAGAACACTAGCCTTGAGCATAAAAACTCAGGGACAGAACCCCATGCCACGAATAAAGAAGAAATTACCTGACTTCTGTTACTGTAACCCCTCAGAGTAAATCACCTTTATAATAACACTTCATTTGACCCAATGTTGCCTATAATAGGCAGTAGAAATGTAAATTCCAAATATAAGCACTGCCAAGTTTTGCAGATGTATAAAAATGTGAATCTGTATATTAGAAAAATTCTAGAAGGACCTGGAATGTTCAAGTTAGTTGGAACTGTGCTTAGTTCAAGTGGTTTTGTGTGTGTGTGTATGTGTGTGTGCCTGAGGTTTGAATTTAGGGCCTGGACGCTGTTCCTGATTGAGCTTTTGTGCTAAAAGCTAGCACTTTACCACTTGAGCCACAGTTCCACATCCAGCTTTTTGGTGGCTAACTGAAGAGTCATGGACTTTGCTGCTCCATCAGAACCATGATACTCAGATCTGTCTCCTGAGTAGTATGATTACAGGCACGAGCTACCAGCACCTGGCTTAGTTTACTTTTATATGTTTCTGGGTTTCATATTTTTCAACTAAGTAAGTCTTACATATTTTATACAGAGAAGACTGTAAATACATGTTGTAAAAGAGAAATACATTAAAAAAAATGTTAGAGCCAGGTGGTGGCTCACACCTGTAATCCTAGCTACTCAGGAGGCTGAGATCTGAGGGTTGTGGTTCAAAGCCAGCCTGGGCAGGAAAGTCCATGAGACTCATTATCTCCAATAAACTCCTCAGGAAAGCTAGAAGTGGTGCTGTGGCTCATGTGACAGAGTGCTAGTCTTGAGCAAAACAAGCTCAGGGACAGCATAGCACCCAGGCAGAGTTTAAGCCCCAGGACCTAGGGCTGGGAAGGTGGCTCAGTGGTAGAGTGCTTGCCTTGCATGCCTGAGGCCCTGGGTTCGATTCCTCAGCACCACATAAGCAAAAAGAAAAAAGCTGGAAGTGGCACTGTGACTCAAGTGGTAGAGCGCTAGCCTTGAGCTGAAGAGCTGAGGGACAGCGCGCCTAGGCCCAGAGTTCAGGCCTCACGACTGGACCCAAAAAAAAAAAAAAAAAAAAAAAAGCCCCAGGACCTGGGGGTGGGGAGGTTCCGGGAGAGATAATGGGATGGACACATAAAAACCACACTAGAGACATTACATAAAATTAAAATTTTTAATAGGAAACAACTTATGATGGCTAAGTATACAAGACAAATTTAATCCTTAAAAATAATTACAGAAGTCTAGTGGTAACTTGAAATAACTATGAAGCAAACCATCTTTAGAGAAAAGTATTAATGCCAGACTCTACTAAAGTGCATAAAAAGCAAATTTATTTTAGAATTTATAAGAAAAGTACATTGAAAGTACATGTTATTGCTACACAGCAAGGTAGTCCTCAGTGTCAGTAAGCCCTGATCTAATAGTCTGCCTCTTAGTATAGGCCTCGAACTTTGTTTCAAAAGTCCAAAGTTACAAGCAACTTTCTTTGATAGCTTTATGTGTAGCATTAGCAGCAGATTTAAAAAAAAGACTAATTCTTGGTTTATTAACTCTCTAAAGCTATGTCAGTTTCACAAGAAAAATCTATCATTTTTTCATGAAAACTGGTAACAGGACTGTAAAATGTTCAGACTTTTACAACAAGTTATAAATATTCATTATTAACAACAACAAAAAAAGCTCAATGTAGTGGCTCACACCTGTAATCCTTGCTACTCCAGAGGTGGAGATGAGGAGAATCATGGTTGAAGCAAGCTGGAAAATATTTGAATCCCCATCTCAACCAAAAACCTGAGCATGGTGTCATTCCAATAGGCCCAGGCAAAAAGCAAGGCTCTATATGAAAAATAATGAAACCAAAAAAGGCCAGAGACAAGACTCAAGTTATAGAGCAGCTACCTAGCAAGTGCAAAGCCCTAAGTTCAAATTTAGCACAGTCAAAATACAAACAAAATTTAAAATACAGTTAGATTTTAAATAAAAAATAATTTACAACTAGATGCAGTGGCTCATGCTTTTAATGCCAACGCATTGGGAGGATCCTGGTTAGAGGACAGATAAAGCAAGTTCGTGAGACATGCTGGTGTGCAACAGTGATGTCAGCTACATAGGAGGTCATAGGAAAGAAGATCATGGTCTGAGGTCAGTCCTGAACAAAAATGCAAGACTCTACCTTAAAGGAAAAAAGGGTTAGGGGCATGGTTCCAGTGACAGTGCACCTGTCTAACAAATGACATGCATTTAAAAATCATTTTTGTTACAGTACTGACATTTAAGTGATGAAAATGAAAAGAATAATGTACTTTCTTAAGACCACCAATGGACAAACCTACTAAATTAGGGACTGTGCACGACGGACTAAGAGGACACCTCAGTGGTAGGATGCTTTGCCTAGCAGGAGTGTGCCTGGGTTTCTATCACCCCCAAAACAAAACCAAACAAAATGTGCAGAGATGACTAACAGGCAAGCCTGACATCTATCACAGCTTCTTTCAGAGTCTAACTGGCAGTCTTAGTAACCTTTATCTTTGTTCACTTAAAAATAACCTAGGCCTGGGAATATGGCTTAGTGGTAGAGTGCTTGCCTAGCATGCATGAAGCCCTGGGTTTGATACCTCAGTACCACATAAACAGAAAAAAGACCTGAAGTTGTGCTGTGGCTCAAGTGGTAGATGCTCAAGGCTAGTCACTGCTCTGCCACTTGAGCCACAGCGCCACTTCTAGCTTTTTTGGTGGTTAACTAGAGATGAGAGTTTCACAGACTTCCTGCTTGGATGGCTTCAAACCATGATCCTCAGATCTCAGCCTCCTGAGTACCTAAGATTACAGGCATGAGCCATTGGCACCTGGTGTACATCAGTGTTTTTATCACAGTGAAAAAGAAAAAATATGGTTTCAGAAGGAAGCCAGAGAGACTAGAATGAATCTTTTTGACCAGAGAGATTCAGCAACAAAAGACAAATTAACTACAGAAAAACCCACAACATATTACAGCAGTATTTTCTGAAGTACCTACCCAATTCAGTCTTATAAATATTTATATAAATGATTTGTGTACTTTCAGGTGCTTTGTTACTAATATTTATGCTTTTCTTGCATTATCATAATTAAGCAAAATGTGTTTTCACTTATGTAATGGTATTGTAAAGCTAGTTTCTCCTAAATTGTTTAATATATTCTCATTTATCTAAGAAAAATAATCATTGATTTGACTATGACCCAAACCCTTACAGAAATACCTCCTTGATTACTTATTAGCATAAAGAAAACTAAGTATATTTTTGTTCATAAACTATTGAGTACCTGAAAATAAAATACCATTTATTAAAATAAAATATCTATTTAATTCATACTAAACACAATAAAGATTTGTACAAGCTTTTTATCCTTACTTTGTAAATACATCATGATTTTTAAAGCATTATCAATCAGCTCTATACAAAAATGAAATATGACATCCAAATAAGATAGTGGTTTTAAAATAAGAAACATTCAAACAGCTAATAATGTACCATGTGTAAAAATTTAAATAAGAGACAGATACAGTTCTAATTGAAATGTCAACCTTATAATACAGAGCGATATTTACAAGCAAACATGATCCAAACAGCACATGCAGATTCAGGGTAAGTAAATACTCGAACACGAACTGCCAGTCGCACCTGGTCTCCACGGCAACAAATTATTTCTTCACAAAAAGGAGACCTAAATAAAGAAAATGTATTCAACTAAGAATGACTGTAACATTTTTTTAATTAAAAAAAATTTTAGAGCTCATTCCTGTGGCTGACACCTACTAACTACTTAGGAGGCAGAAATTGGGAGGATCATGGTTTGAGGCCAGTGTGGACAAAAAGTTTGCAAGACCCTCCATCTCAACTTAATGAAAAGCTGGATGTGGTAGCATGCAGTACCACACAAAGTACAAATAAGAGGATCACTATTTAGGCTGCCTAGGCAAAGGCAAAACTCTTTGAAAAATCACCAAAGTAAAAAGGGATATGGGCACTGATCCCATGGCAACATCTGCCTAACAAGCATGAGGGCCTGTTATTCAAACCTCCGCACTACCAAAAAAAGAATTTTATGTGTGTGTGTGTATTTATTTTTGGTCATGGTACTTGAACTCTGGGCCTGGGCGCTGTCCCTCAGCTCTTTGGCTCAAGACTAGCGCTCTACCGCTTAAGCCACGGTACCATTTCTGGTTTTCTGGTGGTTAATTAGAAGTAAGAGTGTCATGGATTTTCCTGCCTGGGCTGGCTTTGAACCGTGATCTTCAGATCTCAGCCTCCTGAGTAGCTAGGATTACAGGCGTGAGCCACTGGTGCCTGGCCCCAAATTACTTTTAAGTAACCATAGATTTAATCTTTTTCTACTTAAGTCAATATTTAAGTATTTAAGAACTTCAGAACTAGATGCATGGCTCTAAGTAGCAGTACGCCAGCTGTCAGTGAAAGCACTATGGCCCTGAGTTAAAGCCCCAGTACCTGCACAACCACGTTAAAAAAAACTAAGTATTAAATATTTTAAAACATTATCAAAATGGTTCTGAAGTTTTAGTTGAGCTACTCATACTATTTTCTAATAATGTGTAAATTTAGGAAATTACACTACAGCACCCAGATGCTAGTGGCTCACATCTGAAATTCTTGCTATTCAGGAGGCTGAGCTTTGAAGATGGTGGTTCAAAGCCAGCCTAGGCAGGAAAGTTCATGAAACTCTAATCTCTAACCACTAAAAAAGCTGTGGCTTAAGTGGTAGAGTACTCAGTGGAAAAAAAAAAAAGGAAAAAAAAGAAATGCCAGGTGCCAGTGGCTCACAGCTAGGTGCTGGTGGCTCACGCCTGTAATCTTAGCTACTCAGGAACCTGAGATCTGAGGATCACAGTTCAAAGCCAGCCGGGGCAGTAAAGTCTCTTATCCAATTAACCACCTGAAAAACAGAAGTGGCATTGTGGCTCAAGTGGTAGAGTGCTTGCCTTGAACTGAAGAGCTCAGGGACAGCACCTATGCCCAGAATTCAAGCCTCACAAGAAAGAAAGAAAGAAAGAAAGAAAGAAAGAAAGAAAGAAAGAAAGAAAGAAGGAAAGAAGGAAAGAAGGAAAGAAAGAAGGAAGGAAAGAGAAAGAAAGAAAGAAAGAAAAAAAGAAAGAAAGAGAAAGAAAGAGAGAAAGAAGGGAGGAAGAGAGGGAGGAAAGGAGGGAAGGAGGGAAGGAGGGAAGGAGGAAAGAAAAGAAAGTAAGTATACTAGAGAAGATCAGAGCTTTTCAACCGAGTAGCCTATACTCACTGGAAAGTCACTGGGAAAATTATCCCAGACTATCCAGGTCTATCTTTCAGACCCAATGAATCAAAATCTGTAATAGAGCGTAAGTCATGGCTGAAGCTCCCAGGATTCTACTAGACTGAGTTCTAAGATTCCTAAGCCAAAAACATTATGAATCCATAAATGACACCTTACCGGAGACAAGTGGCAAATGCACGCCTTGCATTTCTATACACAAAATGTATCGGAAACCCTTTAAATGTGTGACCATCAGGCACAGCCCTCCTTATGGCATCTTGGAATTCTTCATTGCCTGCAGATATACTTGTTGTACGCTCAAATTCATAAGAAGCCAAAGCTGGAGATAAAAGGTAGGAAAGTTGGTCTTCCCAAACAGTAGTAAGGCCAAGATCCTATAACAAAAGGAAAAGTGAAACATATTAACATTTAAAAAATCTATTTAAAAAATGTTTTCTCTTTTTTGGGGGATGAAGGGTTTTGTGGTAGTAGAGTTACTAAGCAGGTACTCTAGTACTTGTCAAGCCCAAAGCCCTTTTTGCTTTAGTTATTTTTTGAATAGTCTCTTGTGTGTTATGCCCAGGACCAGTCTGGACTGTGATCTCCCTATTTATATGTTCCAAGTAGAAACAACAGATGCATACTCCACAACCAACTATTGGTTGAGGAGGTGTAGAAAGCTTTTTGCCTGGGCTGGCTTTGAACTGTGATCCTCCTGATTTCTGTCTCCCAAGTAGCTATGATTATAGATGTGAGCCTTATTTTTTTAATAGAAGTGTGTATGTGCGTGCGTGCGCGTGTGTGTGTGTGTGTGTGAGTGTGTGTGATCTAATTCTATAGCCCTGCTCCCACATGCTAGGATTACAAAAGCACATCATATGCCTGGTTAATTGTTCTTTAATAGATGTCAATAAATTATTTTTAAATGAAGGGCTTTCATGTCCAGAAGTATAATCAGTAAGATCCTCTTGCCAGCTCCACTGCTGAAAACATAACTACAAAATACTCTTTCAAATGTTCCAGGAATTCCAAGTAAGGAATATATTAAAGGTAAAGTTAGAGAACATATTTAATGAATCACATCGACATTTATGGGTTAAGAAAAATGGAAATGAAACATAGGTCCCATGGTTTCCCTTATTTGCAATAAGTATAAGTCTAGGACAAGCAGAAAAGATCAAAAGCTATATACATATGACCAGATAAGATGATGTTAAGTGAAATGAACCCCAAGATAGGGACACAAGTAGTTTTTTTCTCTCTTGCTATTGTTTTTAACGTATTTAAAATGTACTATTTTTTTTTGCTTCTCTTGTATGTTCTTCCTCCACATTATAACTCCTGTTTTCACTGTATTTGATGTCAGTGCCCTGAATCTTGTATACATTTTTCTAATTTGGGGAGGGGAAGGGAAATAACAAAATAAGGATACAGGTAGACCCATTGTAACAATGAGATATACAAGACGCTATGTTGAAAATGAACTTTACAATTTGGGGGGGGGAGGATTTGGGGAGGTGGGGAGGGAAAGGATGGTAGGGGAAAAACAAAGGAGGAGGAAACAATGCTTGATAATTGTAATTGTAATTGTAACCCCTCTGTACAATATCTTTACAATAAAAAACAAAAAAAGAAAAATGGAAGAGAGAGCTTCCCTAAGAAGTAGAATTTAATAAACACCAAAAATGAATGAGGCATAAATCTTTTATAAGAATTTTAAATTTGGTCTTTTGTTGGTTTAATATATTGCAGATAACTTTTCCCACTCAAAGGCTTCAGTCTCTTCATGGTTTCTTTTGCTGAACATTAAAGTTTGGGTTTATTTGCTTGTTTATTTTGTGGTACCCAGGATCTAACTTCAAGCATTCTATGCAAGTATTTTGCCATATAACTACATCCTCAGCCCAAGGAGATTTTTTTTTGTTTTTTTTTTTTGCAGAGGAGAGGGGAACAGTTAGTTATGGGGCTTGAACTGAGGGCCTTGGTGCTGTTCTTGAGCTCTTTTGCTCAAGGGTAGTACTCTACCACTTTGAGTCACAACTCCACTTTGTTTCTGGTTATGAATTGCAGATAATTTCAGAGGGACTTTTCTGTTGGGGCTGGCTTTGAATAGTGAGTTGGGCTAGTTTCTAGCCATGACCCTCAGACCTCAGCCTCCTGAGAAGTTAAGTGTGAGAAATATGTACACTTGGCTAATATCTTCATCTTAAATGACCCTTTAAAAAAAAATCTTTCGCAAGGTCTTTTACAAAAATAATCTACGGAGCTGGAAAGGTGGCTCAGCGGTAGAGTGCTTACCTCCCATGCATGAGGACCCTCCCATGCATGGGTTTGATTCCTCAACACCACATAAGCAGAAAAAGCCAGAAGTGGCGCTGTGGCTCAAATGGTAGAGCGCTAGCCTTGAGCTGAAGAGCTGAGGGACAGCACCCAGGCCCAGAGTTCAGGCCTCATGACCGACAAAAAAAATAAAATAAAATAATCTACGTGGGAGGGGGTGGGGAGAGTGAGGCAGGGGAGGAGAGGGAAGGGATAGTGGGAAAACAATAAGAGAAGAGAAATCAATGCTCAACAAGAAACGTACTCGTTGCTTTACTCATGTAACTGTAACCCCTCTTTACAGCATCTTTACAATAAAATAAAAATTTTTAAAAATCTATGTGATTCATAGACAAGAGATTTGATTTTAATTAATAATACAAAAATGCAAATTAAAGCCAGAACTGAGTACCATTTTACATACAATGAGACAATAAAAATAGAAACAAGCCTGGGGGGGGGGGGGGAAGTGAAAAAAAATCCAGGTTTTATTGGGAGGCAGTAATGAGATGTAAACTCAGGGCATCAAACTTGCTAAGCAGGTGCTCTACCGCTCAGCCATAAATAATTTTTGTGCCAGTTATTTTTGAGATAAGGCACTTCTTGCCCAGACACATGCCTAGACACATTTAGGTCCTATAGTAGTTGATGACAGGTGCATACCACTATGCCCAACTTTATCCCTTGATATGGAGTCTCATTGGCTGGCCTGGAATTGTAATCCTCCCAATCTTAGCCTCTTATGAAGCACATACTGTTCTCAATAGTTGAAATGGGTGTTTCTTGAATTATTCTGCCTAAGCTGCCCTTAAACCAAAATCTTTCTGTTCTTAGCCTCCCAAGTAGCTAGAATTACAGACACAAACCAAAGGGTATAGCTTAATTCAATATTTTAATGGAGCAATTATCTGAATAAGCCACTTCATAAAGAGGAATACTAATAGTGATATTCCACAAAAGTCTGATGTAAGTCCAACATTTCTCATTTCTAGAAGGAAGCAATAATTATATAAAAAGTAGTGGATCCAGCAATTTTTGAGTCTTAGAATTGATCTCTCATCATTTTTAAAACTGCAAGCTTTATAAAAGCAGGGACTGTAAGGGGGATGGGGGCCTGGTAAAAGTGAAATAGACTTGTTTTTGTTAGTGCAGGGGTTGGATATCAGGAGAGGGTAAGTCTGACAGAGAGAATGAAGGAGTTTAAGTTGAATGCCATCACAACAGATTAAATGGCTGGGCACCAGCGGCTCACATCTGTAATCCTAGCTACTCAGGAGGCTGAGATTTAAGGACTGAGGACAGGAAAGCCCATGTAAGACTCTCATTTCCAATTTAACCACCAGAAATCTGGAATTCAAGCCTCACACCCAATACAAACAAACAAGCAAACAGATTAATTCTAACTATGACAACCTGTTGAAGATACTTTTGTGCAGGGAGGGAGAGCAGAGAGTGAAGCAGAGGATAAGCCTGGAATACAGCCCAAACATGGAAATACAATGAATGAAATCCTTCCACCCCTATATAACTAATATAAGAAAAAGAATAGAAAGCTGGATGCCAGTGGCTCACGCCTGTAATCCTAGCTACTCAGGAGGCTGAGATATCTGAGTATCATGGTTCAAAGCCAGCCTGGGCAGGAAAGTCCATGAGACTCTTATCTCCAGTTAACCACCAGAAAACTGGAAGTGGCACTGTGGCTCAAATGGCAGAGCATTTGTCTTGAGCAGAAGAGCTCAGGGACAGCGCCCAGGCCCAGAGTTCAAGCCCCACAACCAACCAAAAAAAAAGAAAAAGAACAGAGGAGGTGATGGAGACAAAATTTGTCTGAACCCCTATATTTTTGGCTAATTAGTAGAATATCAAAGACATTTATGAAAAATAAGATCAGAACATAAATCTCCCATGTGTTAAATATTTCAATAGTCGTTCATACTGAAAATCTTCTAATGTAATTCTCATGTAACTATGTTTGAAACATTTTTTGCCAGTGAGCTAACATGCTTTTATCATTATATCTTTGAATAGCCTATTATTTACCTGACCTAGAACATTTTATATAAAAGAGAAGCTAAGAAAGCAAGAGAACACTTCATAAAGATGTGCTGTTAAAATTTATTTAAACAGCACACACTGTTTTAATCAGAAGTCATTAGAAATAATTCAATGAAGTGTCCTCATCATGTAAGAAGCAGTTACGAAGACCAATAGAACTCCAGGATGCATTAAGGGAGAAAATAGTATGGAATGAGTTGATAGTATATCAATTAATGCCACATTTTCAACTGCAATACCAAGTCTAATTTCAATCAACACACCTTAACAAATAGAAAATGAAAATATCAGGAATGAAAAGAGAAAAAGAAAGGTAGGGACTGTATTTGCCTTTTTTGGTTAGGATAATGACTAGCACTATCATACATACTAACAGGAAAAAAAAAAAAGGAAAAAAACAGATAAGCTTACAAATCAACTATTTCAATATTAGTTACTTACTTTCCTGTGTTCTGACACCAGGAGCCTCAGCTGCATTTCTATTTCATTACTTGTTACTGATGCATCAATTGTGGATGCACACAGGGGTGGGAAAGGAGGAAGGGATGTGGTAGCTCCTGGAGCACACACAGACTTAATTGCTTCTTCGCTCATGGGTTTCCACTTAGATTCATCATTCAAATCAAACACGCAGGTTTCTACTGCATCTGAGGGTTGGCAATTTCCCAGGAACATCTGATGGTTGAAAACACAACCAATGGTTCTATATGGGTACAATGGTTTGGGCTGTTCAGCAGGTGGAGGTTCATCGGGATTGGTAGGTTTGTGGATGTACCTAAAAAAAAAAAAAAAAAAAAAAAAATCAAACAATAATTCCCCTAGTTACAATTCAAAAACTACAAAGACAGGATCCTGTGGAAGAAAAAAAAGTTATCCAAACAATTAAGGCCATAAAGTTTAATACCTGTTTTTCCCTAGGCTAACTACATGGTATATTTATAGAAACCAATTTTATTCCATGAACAACAGACTATTCTATGCCCACTGTCAAGATAAAAAAAATTAACCTTAGAATATATAACTAAAATAGCTATACAGTAAGCATAACTAATCAAAATGATCATCAGCCAGGAAGAAAAGAGTGCCCAGTGCTGTTATCTTTAGAACTCTTAACGCTTAGAGAAAAACTGAGAAAGAATATAGACGAATAATTTAAAATTATAAGACAGTGATATGGCAGAAACAAAGAAAAAGAAGCAACTCCAGGAGAGAGGAGGCTCACTTCAAAAATATGACAAACTAAATACTGAAATAAATATTTAGTGGGATTACCACCATGAAATTGTTACCCAATCAAAGTTTCCAAAGACGACTCTATGCCAGGTACATACAGGCTCATGCCCATAATCCTAGCTACTTAGGAGGCTGAGATCTGAGGATCGAGGTTTGAAGCCAGCCCAAGGCAGCAAAAAAGCTCAGAGGGTCCAGAGTTCAAGCCCCAGGATCAGCACATAAAACAAAAACTCCCTAATGTATAATCCAAACTTATGTGCTAACTTAGGGATGATGATCAAGAAAAAAGTTTACCAATTACATAAAACTAAAAGTCAATGTGACATATTTCTATCAAAATTATGTGGTAAAGAATATTTTAGGAGTACCATATTTTTCCTTAGATTTCATTACTTAGCTGCTATAAGTGAAATAGTTTTCATAGTTTCAAGAAAAAACTTCTAATAACTAAAGTATAAGATGTACCTTTGAATAGCATTGTTATAAATGAAATTTCTCTAATTTAAAATACTTAGGGCTGTGCCAGGTGCTAAAGCCTCATATCTATAATCCTAGCTACTCAAGAGGCTACTCTGAAAAAAGGCCAGGCTCTTAAGTTCAAACACCAGTATCAGCACAAAAAGAAAGAAAAACATCATGACTGGGAATGTACCTCTCAAAGGTAGTGTCAAACTTAGCATGCACAAGACCTGGGCTTTGTACCCAGTCCTATAAAAATAAATATTTATGCTTTAGTATCCCTATGAAGTTAGTTGACTAACCTGTGTCCTGTTAAACTCTCCCAAAAAGTGATGGTTCCATCAGTTCCACAAGTCATAACCCATGCATGCGGTACCCCTTTTGCCTTGGTCCCAACACAGACAAAGGCTTCTAATCCGTATCCAAGAAGAAGACTACACAGAAGATTAGCATGATCTTCACAATCTCCCTACAAAATGAATTTAAGCATTTAAAATAAAATTAAGTATTCATATTATTTCATTAAGTACAAAATTACAATGAAAATTTACTAATAAATGTTTTCACATTAGTCCTATGTTAAGCTGAAACAATGCAAGAAAAAGATACACTAATTACTTTTCAAAGTTAGTGCTCATAAATCTGATGGTCCTAACAGTATATAGGAGGCATTTAGACCCAGAAGTTTACAAAGAACTCAGTCTTCATGGAAGGAAAACTAAGAGGCTTTAATAGATGAAGAAAGGACATGAATGGGCAAGCCAACCTATCATTCAGATAAAAAAAAAAATGAAAACTTCAGTGAGTTATAGTGTATATATGTAATTTTAAGGAAATAGGTATATATGAAAATGGAGGGAAAAAAGCAAAGTTATCATAATGCTTTCCATTAGGGTAATATATATAGATAGATAGATAGATGCACATGCTTCTCTTTTTTTCCAAATTCCCTTTGATACAGTTATATACAATTAAAAAAAAATTATGAGCCAGCTGAAATGGCTTATTCCTGTTAATACCAGCTCCGTAGAAAGCATGTATCAGAAAAAAATCAGTTAACACCAGCACAAGGCAAAAAAGCAAGATCCTATCATAGCCAGACCAGTGACTCATGCCTGTAATCCTCTACTCAGGAGGCTGAGATCTGAGTGTCACAGTTAGAAGCCAGCCCCAGCAAGAAGTCCATGAGACTACCAAATTTACTACCAAAAAGTCAGAAGTGCAGCTGTGGCTCAAGTGGTAGGTAGAGTGCTTGCTATCCTTGGACAAAAAAGGGACAGCACGGCACCCAGGCCCTGAGTTCAAGCTCCAGGACTATCACACTCACACACACAAGTAGGACCTGAGAAAATGCTAACACATGAATTATACAATTGGACCCTTGTTCTCATCTCCTATTCACTCTATACCTGGTTCCTTTTTCAATTTTTTGGGGCACAGGGTCTTCCTATATAGCCCAGGCTGAGCTCAAACTTGTCAATCTCTACCTTCCATCTCCAGAATGCTGTGATTACAGGATTTTGTCACTACACACAGCTCTATAACTTAAATTTCTTAATCACATTAAGGAAGAAACTACAAGAGCAATTTAAAGATGCTGATTCTTTATGGGGGCAAGGGCAAGAAGTGGTACAGGAAGTTGAAGATATAGCCTCATGCTTACAAGGCAGACATTCTACCTCTTGAGCCATTCCCCCAGCTTCTATTTTTGAGGTAGGGTCTCACTTTATGCCTAGGTTAGCCAAGGTTGAAATCCCACTTATGCTTCCTAATATTGCTGGTGTGCCACCATGCCCAGGTATGAGTTCAGATGGAGTCTCACTAACCTCTATTTTGCCTTGGTTGGCCTTGAACTATGATTCCCCAATCTGCCACCTAAGTAGGATTATAGGCTTAGGGTACTGCACCTGGCTCTTAAGTCGTTCCCTTTATATACTGATATATGTTATTTAAAAATGGTAATTGGGGCTGGGAAGGTGGCTCAGTGGTAGAGCGCTTGCCTTGCATGCATGAGGCCCTGGGTTCGATTCCTCCGCACCACATAAGCAAAAAAGAAAAAAGCCAGAAGTGGTGCTGTGGCTCAAGTGGTGAGTGCTAGCCTTGAGCTGAAGAGCTGAGGGACAGCGCCGAGGCCCAGAGTTCAGGCCCCATGACCGGACCCAAAAAAAAACAAAAAAACAAAAAACATGGCATTAAAAAAAAATTTAAGCCAGGCACTGGTGGCTCACACTTGTAATCTTCGCTGCTCAGGAGGCTGAGATGTGAGGATCATGATTCAAAGCCAGCTTGGGCAGGAAAATCTGTGAGACTTCTCTCCACTGAACTAAACTACTAAAAAGTCTAGAAGTAGATCCATGGCTCAAGTGGTAGAGCACTAGCCTCAACTCAAGGATGGCAACCAGGCCCCAAGTTCAAGCTCTAGGACCAGCACAAACAAAACAAAAACTTGACTTGTTCCAGCTGACAGCATGTACATGTACATTTTTCCTAAAGTAATTCTTTCATAAGTATACTATCATTTCCAAATAGCTATGTTGTACTGCTGTAATTATGTGTGTATGGTACCTTGTTTCTACAGAGAAAGGCCAGCAGAGTGCACCACTGCTCCTGTTTACCTCCTCCTCCAATAACAGGAGCGCGTTCATAACCAAGGACATTAACAAATCTTGCTGCTTGCCTTGGGGTATCCAGAAGTCGTCCAGCTCGAAGTGGTTTGACATAGGAACACACTGGTCTATTTATCCCATTCTCATCCTGGAAAAAGACAGGAAAACATTATCATTATCTATAACTATGCTACTGTGCAGTTTAACACCAAAACTTTTCTAAATTTTAATAAATTAAAATTAAGTAAAATTCGGGCTCTGAAGGTGGCTCAGTGGTAGAGCACTTGCTTTGCATGCATGAGGCCCTGGGTTTGATTCCTCAGCACCACATAAGCAGAAAAAGCCGGAAGTGGCACTGTGGCTCAAGTGAGAGCGCTAGCCTTGAGCTGAAGAGCTGAGGGACAGCACCCAGGCCCAGAGTTCAGGCCCCACGACTGACAAAAAAAAATTAAATTAAATTAAATTAAAATTGTTTCAGTTACATTGTGAGTTCTCAACACAACTGGAAGGTACCACATCAGAAAACACAACACAGAACATTTCTATTACTGGAGAAAGTTCTACTGAAAAGTGGGGCCTGAACACTGGAAATGCCCTTTTCAGACTATGTTAATAGGTTCCTAGTTTTACTTTAGTTTTTATGATTAGATTGACTGTCTTAACAGTTGTTCCTTAATTTCACAGCTAGTCAAACACAGGAAGGAAATCAACTCAGAAATTACATATTATTCTAACTATACAAACAGAAGTAGCTGTGACATGCTGTTTGATCTTACAAAGTCATTTTCCCCTTCCTATACTATTAGCCAACTAACTACCAATCTTCCCCATGCAGAAACTAAACCATTCTTAGTGTATCCTTAGTATAGGATAGGATCAGGAATATATGGTAAAGCTAGATGAACATACAGTATCTGAGAAGCATAAATCAAAATAATATACCATTATATATAGAAGAATCTATATGGGGTGATATATATATATATATATAAACATATAGATAGATAGATAGGCAGATAATCATTCTTCAGAATTTACAGCTATAGGGGCTGGAAAGGTGGCCTAGTGGTAGAGTGTTTGCCTTGCATGCATGAGGCCCTGGGTTCGATTCCTCAGCACCACATAAGCAAAAAGAAAAAAAAGCCGGAAGCGGTGCTGTGGCTCAAGTGGTAGAGCACTAGCCTTGAGCTGAAGAGCTGAGGACAGCGCCCAGGCCCAGAGTTCAGGCCCCATGACCACCCCCCCCCCCAAAAAAAAAGAATTTACAGCTATATGCACATTCAGTACAAATTATACTTTAAATTTTTTTTTTTTGTCGGTTATGGGGCTTGAACTCTGGGCTTGGGTGCTATCCCTGCGCTCTTCAGCTGAAGGTGTGAGCACTCTACTGCTTGAGCCAGAGCGCCACTTCCGGTTTTCTAGTGGTTTATTGGAGATAAGTTTCACGGACGTTCCTGCCCGTCTTTGAACTGCGATCTCAGCCTCCTGAATAGCTAGGATTACAGGCATGAGCCACCAGCACCCAGCTTTACTTTAAATTTTGGATTCTGGGGCAAATAGACACCTGAAGAAATCTCTGGCCATAAAAGAAATGCAACTCAAAACAACATTGAGATTCCACATAACCCCAGTTAGAGTGGCCATTATCAAGAAAACTAATAGGGGCTGGGAAGGTGGCTCAGTGGTAGAGCGCTTGCCTTGCACGCATGAGGCCCGGGTTCGATTCCTCAGCACCACATAAGCAGAAAAAGCCAGAAGTGGTGCTGTGGCTCAAGTGGTAGAGCACTACTAGCCTTGAGCTGAAGAGCTCAGGGACAACGCCTAAGCCCAGAGTTCAGACCGCAAAACTAACAAAAAGCAAAACAAAACAAAACAAAAATAATAACAGATGCTAGAGGGTATGTGGCCAATGGGAATGCTACTATACTGTTGGTGGGAAAGTGAACTTGTTCAATCATTCTGGAAAGCAGTATGGACATTCCTCAAAAGACTAAATATAGAGCTTCCCTAGGACCAAGCAATCCCACTCCTGGGCATTTAACCAAATGACTACAAATTAGCCTACATTAAAGCCACCAGCACAACCATGTTCACTGAAGCATTATTTACCATAGGTAAGATACAGAATCAACCCAGATGCCCCTTAGTAGATGAATGGATCAAGAAAATGTGGTATATATACACAACTGAATTCTATGCTTCCATCAGAAAGAATAACCTCGCCCCATTTGTAAGGAAATGAAGAGACTTGGAAAAAATTATAGTAAGCAAAGTAAGCCAGACCCAAAGAAACACGGGCTGTATGGTTTCCCTCATTTGTGATAACTACAATATGTCTGTAAATCTACAAGTTAATCCAATGGATAGTAAAAGACAAATAATTATACTTGGACATAATTAAACTGCACTTTAAGCATCGCAGTGAGAACATAGGAGGATATTCTTAGGAGAGGATCACAATGGCTCAGTAGCTATGTGCATATGACCATATAAAATGAGGCTTATCGAAATGAACTCCGAAAAATGGAAACAAGGTTTTTTTTTTATTGTACTGTTTGCAGTTATTTCTTTCTTTCTTTCTTTTTTTCCTTTGGTCTATTCCCTGTTGTCACTACTTTTTATTTCTGTACCCTTTGTCTTGTATATATGTTTATCTGATTTGGAGAAGGGAAGAGGAATCACAGAAATAGTGGGACAAAGGTTGAACCCACTCAACAGTGACACTAAATGAATTTTACAACTTGGAGGGAGGGGAGATGAGATGGGAAAAAGTGGGAGAAAATGGAGGGGTTGCACTGTTCAAAAAGAAATATACTGCCGGGTGCCAGTGGCTCATTCCTGTAATCCTAGCTACTCAGGAGGCTGAGATCTGAGGATCACAGTTCAAAGCCAGCCTGGGCAGGAAAGTCCGTGAGACTCTTATCTCCAATAAACCACTAGAAAAACACAAGTGGCGCTGTGGCTCAAGCGGTAAAGCGCTCACCTTGAGCTGAAGAGTGCAGGGACAGTGCCCAGGCCCAGAGTTCAAGTCCCATAACCGACAAAAAAAAAAAAAAAGAAAGAAAGAAAAAGAAGAAACATACTGATTATCTGACTTAAAAACTGTAAATCACCTTTATAATAAAATTTAAATTAATAAAAATTTTGGAGGGGGCTGGGAAGGTGGCTCAGTGGTAGAGTGCTTGCCTTGCATGCATGAGGCCCTGGGTTCGATTCCTCACCACCACATAAGCAGAAAAAGCTGAAAGTGGCGCTGTGGCTCTAGCGGTAGAGCACTAGCCCTTGAGCTGAAGAGCTGAGGGACAGCGCCCAGGCCCAGAGTTCAGGCCCCACGACTGAGAAAAAAAAAAAAAAATTTGGATTCTGTTCTCCAGAATCGCAGAAATACAATGTATGATACTATCTCCCAATGCTGGGAAGCCACAGCTTCTAGTCACCATATGATTACAAGGGTAAACAACTAATCCTCTACAATAAAATGTGTGGCTAAGCTATGATGCATGGCAGTTTAGATGTACTTTCAACTTCCAGTATTTAATTGATGTAACTCCATCATAAGTAAAAAAGCATCTGTAGTTTAAATTCTCCAATTAAATACTTCTGGTCACCACTGGCTTAGAAATCTTGGTTCTACAGAATTATTACAATTAATATTGTTTTTGCTTAACTCTATAACAAAAATATGTCCAGAGCCCTTGTTTAGCACACAAGAGCTGAATTTACAAATAAATCACAACATGTCCAACTAGTTAATTATTTGGTTGTAACTATAAGGCCAGGGTATAGTCTAGTAAAACAAATTCTATCCATTTTTGTTGTTGTTGGTTGTGGAGCTTGAACTCTGGGCCTGGGTGCTGTCCCTCAGCTCTTCAGCTCAAGGTTAGTGCTCTACCACTTGAGCTACAGTGCCACTTCTGGCTTTCTCTGTTTATGTAGTACCAAGGAATTAAACCCAGGTCCTCATGCATGCAAGGCAAGCACTCTACTACTGAGCCAACTTCCTAGGCCCAAATTTTATCTACTTAAATGAAATACATTTAAGAAAAGGCTTAAAAGCCCAGTAGCTGGTATGAAAAGTAAAACAAACATTGTATTACGCTACTCACCTACTCAATGAAATAATTATAAGAATCAAACTCATAGAAACAAACTCATATTTCTACAAATGTAGAATTAAATATTTACGTATGCAACACTAAATCTCAAATATAGGCATTAAACTGTTGAATGTAATTTACCAACCTGTGCAAAAATCTTAACCAGTCGTGAGTTGTGTGAGGGTCGAATTTGCAAATATTCTCTCCACCACTGTTTAGCATACACGAGAAATAATCGTTCTTTCTCTGCAGTTTTTTGACGTTCTAAGGCAAGCTTGAAATTAAAAGAACACATATTTCTTAATTTCCTTTCAATCTCTTTAACTACATGTATATAACAATTATACCACCATCCTTGTCTGCACCTACATCATTTCTTATTTGTAAGAGCCTCAACACTTTCCTATTTCTAGTTACCCCAGTACCTCATTCAGTCTTTCCATGACAGTCAAAGTAAGCCAGGTACCAGTGGCTCAGGCCTGTAATCCTAGCTACTCAGGACCTTGAGACCTGAGTAAGAATCACAGTTTGAAGCCAGTCCATGCAGGAAAAAGTCCATGAGACTCATCTCCAATAAACTACTCAAAAAAAAAAAAAAAGCTGCCGGGAGCTGGGCACTGGTGGCTCACACCTGTAATACTAGCTACTCAGGAGGCTGAGATCTGAGGATCAGAGTTCAAAGCCAGCCCAGGCAGGAAAGTCCGTGAGACTCTTTTCTCCAATAACCACTCAGAAAAGCGGAAGTGACGTTCTGGCTCAAGTGGTAGAGCTCTCACCTTGAGCTGAAGTGCTGAGAGACAGTGCCCAGGCCCAGAGTTCAAGCCCCATGACACACACACACGCACAAATACACACGCACAAATACACATGCACAAATACACACACACACACACACACACACACACACACACACACACACACACATGCTGCCGGGTAATGGTTGCTCACACCTGTAATCCTAGCTTCTCAGGAGATTGAGATCTGAGGATCACAGTTCAAACCCTGGCAGCAAAGTCCATGAGATTCTTATTTCCAATTAACCAGCAGAAAACCAGAAGTGGTGCTATGGCTGAAGTGGTAGAGCACTCACCTTGAACTCAAGAGCTCAGGGACAGTGTGCCCAGTCAGAGTTCAAGCCCCATGACCGACCAAAAAAAAAAAAAAAAAGCTGAGGTACAGCCACAGCTCAAGTGGCAGAGTGATAGCCTTAAGTAAAAGAAGCTCAGGAGGGGCTGGGAAGGTAGCTCAGTGGTAGAGTGTTTGCCTTGCATGCCTGAGGCTCTAGGTTCAACACCTCAACACCACATAAACAGAAAAAGCCACAAGTGTCACTGTGGCTCAAGCTGTAGAATAGAGCACTAACCTTGAGCTGAAGAGCTAAGGGACAGCACCCAGGCCCAGAAATCGAGCCCCATTACAGACAGACAGATAGACAAACACACATGTATGATCATTTCCTTGTTTAAAACACTTCAATCATTTCCATTATGCTCTACACCTCATTGGGCTTTAAATTTGATAAGCTCAGCACTGTTTAGACTACTATGCTTCTTGCCATGCAGATTTTTACCTACTTTAATCACTTGATACTAAATGTCCCCCTGCCCCCCACAAATCCCTCTGCCACACATTACCCTGTTATTTTCCACAGAGAACTTTCTACTACTTGCTATTGTTTGTTGAGTCCACCAGGAATATCTATCTATCTATCTCCCTATCTATATCATAGCAGAAGCATGAGAAAATACTTCAAAATGTTAAATTTTACATACATAAATGTATATACTTTTTAAGAGTTTCATCAGGATGGTTCTCTTCCCCATCTCCTTTTTTTGTTGTTGGCAATGCTAGGGATCAAAGCCAGGGCAAGGCACATGGTAAGCAAGCATTCTACCACTGAGTAGAAGCTATTCAAGTCCTTGCTTTGCAATTCTGACCTGGTTCTGCATTCCCCAAACTACACTACTGATTTCCCTATAGGAACAATACCATCATTATTTTTCTCATCCCTTTTGTTAACCTTTGAGTACTAATCTAAAAAGTAACTGTTATCATGCCCTCCATCTCAGGTCCTGACCCCTCCCACAAAACCAGTTGATCTGTCCAGGCCTAACTGCAGGTGGCCTTCAGCCCTAGCTGTTTCTCCCACTTCACTTCCCAGAGCCCTGTTTTACCCCAGTCCCCAGCTCCATCAGAGAAATGCTTGCCTAATTGTAACTGTTATAATCAGAAAACCCCATCCCAGCTATGTGCCATCATTAGCATTCAGCTGACAGGCATATACACAGATTTCCCATACTTCCTGCCCCAAGCCCCCTGACTATAAATTTGACCTTAAACAAAGGATGAGTGCTATTCTCCCTCTCATTGAGGGAGGTGGCCTTGTCAGCCTTGCTGACAATAAAACTCCTTTTCCTATATGTGACTGTGTCCATGTGGTCTTCTGGGATGGTGACTTTCAGTAACAAATTATGATTTTCTGAATAAAAAGTATTTTATAGGATCAATAAATACTACAAAAAAACATGCATAAAGAAGAAAACTATTTACCTGTGTATTCACTACTTCTTGGGATAATGTTTGATTGAGTGCTGGGTACATTTCAAGTTTTATATTTAAAATTCCCACAGAAACTTTTGATTCTGTGCCTGCAAACATAAATACGTATATGTTAATACTTATATTCAGAAATCAAATGTACTTTTGGTGTGTGGTTATGTGTCCGTACTGGGGTTTAATCTAAGGTCCCAGATGCTATCCTTAGTTTTTTCACTCTAGGCTGCACTATACTACTTCCAGATTTTTGGGGGAGTGGGGTGGGGTAGAGTGGGGTGGGGTGGGCAGTGTTAATTGGAGATGAGAGTCTCACAGACTTTCTTGCCTGGGCTAGATTTGAACCATGATCCGCAGATCTGTCTATTGAGTAGCTATCATTATAAGCATAAACCACGAGCCCCTGGAAAATACTGCATGTATTTACTCAACTAAAGTCTTAACAATTTTAGGACTGTCATGCTTTCCTATTTAAATAGAGTACTTAATATTAACTTTAATATGCATGTTAAAAATAACCAATTCCCCAGGCACTGGTGGCTTGTGCCTGTAATCATCTTTACTCAAGAGGCTGAGATCTGAGGATCAAGGTTCAAGGCAGCCACAACAAGAAAGTCCATGAGACTTTTATTTCCAATTAACCACCAATAAGCCAGAAGTGAAACTGTAGAGCATTATTAGCCTTGCACAAAAAAGCCCAGAGAGGGGCTGGGAAGGTGGCTTAGTGGTAGAGCACTTGCCTTGCATGCCTGAGGCCCTGGGTTCGATTCCTCAGCACTACATAAGCAAAAAGAAAAAAAGCTGGAAGTGGCGCTGTGGCTCAAGTGGTAGAGCGCTGGCCTTGAGCTGAAGATCTGAGGGACAGCGCCCAGGCCCAGAGTTCAGGCCCCATGACCGGACGCAAAAAATAAAAAAAAAAAAGCCCACAGACAGTACACCAGTCCTGAGTTCAAGTTCCAGGACTGGCGCGTGTGTGCGCACATACACATATACACATACACACACACAAAGAAATCAGTTCATTTTTCATTTACAAGACCATTTATCTACTAGTAAGAGACATATTTTCTTAGTAACCTAATCACATTTTTTACACTCTGATTTAATAATTTGTGAATTTTTCTTCATTAAATACACAGTATCAACCAGACTTACATTAAATACAAATCCAAAACACCTGCTAATAACTCACTCATTGTACCTCCATGAAAAAAGCAGAAACTATACTTGGTCATATACAGTAAACCTACTTACTCTTTCTTCTTACTATATCACTTGAGTACAGATTTTTCATTCATGCTTAGACTTAACAGAATTTTTTTTTTTTTTTGGGTCTGGTCGTGGGGCCTGAACTCTGGGCCTGGGCATTGTCCCTCAGCTCTTCAGCTCAAGGCTAGCACTCTACCACTTAAGCCACAGTGCCACTTCCGGCTTTTTTCTTTTTGCTTATGTGGTGCTGAGGAATCGAACCCAGGGCCTCATGCATGCAAGGCAAGCGCTCTACCACTGAGCCACCTTCCCAGCCCTAGACTTAACAGAATTAAAAAAGTCATGTGCCAGTGACTCACATCTGTAATCCTACTTAGAAGGCTGAGATCTGAGGATGATGATTCAAAGCTGGCCCAGGCAGAAAACTCTATGAAACTCATCTCCAATTAATCACACTTACACTCTCACTCTCACTCTCACTCTCTCTCTCTCTCTCACACACACACACACACACACACACACACACACACACACACACACACACACAGCCAGAGTAGAGTTGTGGCTCAAGTGGTAAAACACTAGCCTTGAGCAAAAAAGTCCAGGGACAGTGCCCAGGCTCTGAGTTCAAGCCCCAGGAATGGCATAAAAAATAATTAGAAACCAGCAGGGTGCTGGTAGCTCTTGCCTGTAAACCCTAGCTACTCAGAAGGCTGAGATCTGAGGATCACAGTTCGAAGCCAGCCTGGGTAGGAAAAGTCCATGGGACTCTTATCTCCCATCAACCATCTAAAAGCCAGAAATGGAGCTGTGGCTCAAGTGGTAACCTTGAGCAAAAGGGTTCAGAAAAGTACCCAGATCCCAAAACCAGTAATGAAAATTTTTAAAAAGAAAAAGGAAAATATACTTCACATTAGAACTAGTTTACAATTTCTTCAGCAAATCAGTGTATGCTGGTTTCCACATTATAACTATAATTATAACCATAGGCCTATTTTTGAAGGCATATAACTAGGATTATTTTTTAAATACAACTATATAAAGCAAACATTTTTCCTCTAGTTTTCATTTTATTCTGAGTCTGACTTTAAATTCAAATTTTTATTAAGGCTAGGCTGTCTATAGCCTTGTTTCACACTAGGAATAATCTTCAGTATTCTGAGTCAGATTTAAAATTCAAATTATTAAGGATAGGCTGTCCACAGCCATGTTTCATTCTAGGAATAATTTTCAATAACAAAGTAATTCCATTATATGTTATACATAAAACACAAGTGGGGTGCTGGGAGGATGGCTCAGTGGTAGAGTGCTTGCCTTGCATGCATGAGGCCCTGGGTTCGATTCCCCAGCACCACATAAGCAGAAAATGCTGGAAGTGGCGCTGTGGCTCAAGTGGTAGGGAGCTAGCCTTGAGCTGAAGAAATGAGGACAGCATCCAAGCCCAGAATTCAGACCTCCCGACTGACAAAAACAAACAACCACAACAACAACAAAAAAAGGTGGGTTTTGTTTTCTTCATTTTAGCAGAAATATATTACATAGAAAGCAGTATGTAAGATTCCAAAGAAATAATGATAAATTCATCATTTTTACCCTTTACTACTTAGTCATACCGATATTGAGTATGATGTCATCTCTTCCAGGTCTCACTGCACTGAAAAAGGCTAGAAGACCTACTCCCTACTTTAAGAAGCACTAGTCGGAGCTGGGCATGATGATGCAAACCTGTTATCCCAGCTCTGAGGGGGCTGAGGCAGGATGCCAGACTGGAAAAGCTTGTCAAGGCTGGGAATATGGCTCAGTGGTAGAGTGATTGCCTAGCATGCATGAAGCCCTGGAGTTCAATTCCTTATACCACATAAACAGAAAAAAGCCTGAAGTGAAGTGGTGCTGTGGCTCAAGTGGAAGAGCACTAGCCTTCAGCCAAAGAGGCTCAGAGACAGTGCCCAGGCCCTGAATTCAAGCCCCATGACAAGCCAAAAACAAAAACAAAGTTTGTCAAGCTAAAGCCAGACACCAGTGGCCCATAATCCTAGATACTCAGGAGGCTGAGATCTAAGGATCAAGGTTCAGAGCCAGTCCAGGTAGGAAAATCCATAAGACTCATCTCCAATTAATCACCAAAAAAAGTAGAACTATGGCTCAAGTGGTATAGCACTAGCATTGAGGTAAAAAAGCTCAGAGACAGTGCCCAGGTCCCAAGTTCAAGCCTAGGACCAGCACCCCCCCCAAAAAAAAGTTCAAGACTAAAAAGACAGAACCATAATACCTCTATCCTCCTTCCACCCCCCCCCCAAAAAGAACCACTGTACTATGTGTGCTAGAGAGTAAGCTATTTTAGTAGATGTAAGAACATTATTTTTCTTTATAGTCAGACTTATTCCAATATATAAGCAAAAAAAAAGTTTGAACCTCAATTTTTCTGCAATAATTTTACTGAAAAAAAATTTTCCCCTTAAGGTAAAAGGCCAGACTAACTCTAAAGTATTATATTGTTTATTTCTTAATATATTCCCTAAGGTTACTATTGTAATCCTAATAAAATTCTGTTTTACAGGTTTCTCTCCTGGCCTATAAAGCTGCTCTGAAGATATAAAATGCATTTACAAACTGCTTACAAAAAGTTAACACAAATCATCATACCTACACCCATAAGTTCCACAGTCAGACTGGTTACTCCATTTTCTGAGCCCAAAACAGATCGCCATTCCAGAAAATAAGATGCTATTAAAGTGGTCTCACCAAATATATCTGTTTTGATTAATACCATATGAATTGGATCACTTATTGATAACATTGTTGTTGAATCAGCCATTCTAGTTCCATCACCTAGCAACGTAAACCAAAAAAGAAATATACCACGTTATTTATTTACTCAGGGAACATAAAACAGTAATTTTCTTAAAAAGTATACTAAATAGAAGGCTTATAGAAAACCAGAGAATAATTTGGTAATGTCTCAAAAACCATGCCAGAGCCTGGAAATAAAAGTAGAGTCCTATTTTCACCACTTTTTTTTTTTTTCTTCAGTCATATGGCTTCAATTCTGGGTCTGGGTGCTGTCCCTGAGCTCTTCAGCTCAAGGCAAGCGCTCTACCACTTAAGCCACAGTACCACTTCTGGTTTTCTGGTGGTTAATTGAAGATAAGAGTCTCATGGACTTTCCTGTCTAGACTGACTTTGAACCATGATCCTCAGATCTCAGCCTCCTGAGTAGCTAGGATTACAGGCATGAGCCACTGGCACCCAGCTCACCACTAACTTTCGGTGAGTAGAACAAATATGAATTACCTAATTAGAGCATAATCAATGCTTTCTAATCCATAAGAAGTCACTAAGGTAGGGAACCTTTTCCTACCAAAGGTCATTTGGATATTTATAGCATTCGCCAGCCATACAAAATTATCAATTCAGGAAGATGACTGAGAACAGCCTACGACAAGTGTCTGGCTAACCCTAACCCTGTCACGTACCAAATGTTTGTGGGTCTCATGCAGCTCATGGGCCAGATATTCCCCACTACTGCTTTAAAACTACTTGTATGCTACAACACAAAACCATCAAATGTCAACTTTAATCTTCAAACTACCTTTATTCTCTAGCCTCCAGAAGTTTATTATCTACACTGTATTACTGACACAAAACTGAAAGGTCTACCGCCTTAAATCCAGCAAATTATCCCATTAATATTTTTATAGAGGAAATCTATTTTAAAACCCCAAATTACAAAGGCATAATTGGTAACTGTGCTTACTTCATGATTATAAAGTTTTCTAGGTTGACAACTAAAAGGCATAAAATAGAACTTTGTTATTGTCATTCTCCACTATAACGCTGCAACTGCTTAATATTTAGGGAAAATTTGCAAACAGAATAAAAGAAAGATGAGGAGAAGTCAAATCAAAATCAGCAAGAGGAAAAAAGAAGAGATTTATCCACTAAAAATCTCCTCTAATAGCAAAAGTTGGCACCGTTGTTCTACAATACTTAATAAAGATCTGCTCAATTAAATGACTATTAATGCTCACCTAAGCTTTCCCTGTGTACTTCAAGTAAAAAGCCATCATGAAAATCTGGTTCACAGGCACATGGAACAGGTTTAGAACGAAAACGTTGATTCCGATAATGTAAACATAAGGTAAAAGTTGAACAAACTTGTCCTGGTAAAGGCTCAGGTTCTTGTAGATGTTCCAAGAAAGCTTTTCCACCCAAAACCTGAAGGTAAAGATACCTCCGTGTTGGATCAATATTAGCTGTAAAGTGTAGCAATAAATATGAGGAGACTGCCAAACAATTTAATGAATGTGATCAAAACATAAGGAAACAACTTGACAACCAAAGATTAAAGAGAGAATAACAATTTTACTATATTATATAGCCAGATTATTTGCTTTCTGGGAAGGAAATGTACATAATGGTATTCTTTTGAGTTTATATTCTAGCTATTTTCAACAATGAATTCAGAGCCCAGATCTTTTGCTTTTTGTTTAGTTTTATTTTTTTTTGTGCTTTAAGTATCTTGCCTAGGCTGGTGTATTCCCTAGTCTGACATTTTCTACATAGGGCAGACTGACCTCAAACTTGAGATCCTTCTACCACTGTCTCCCAAGTTCTGGGAGTACAGGCCTGGGCCACCCCACGCAGCTGTACCTTTCACTTTCTGTTTATATATGTTTTATGTAACTTCACTTTCATAAACCAACTTAGCAAGCATATTTGTCAATTATTCTACCATTAAAAAAGCAAAACACTGGAGAGGGAAGGGATGGTAGGGGAAAGACAAAGGGGGTTACAATGCTCCATAGAAAATGTACTTATTGGGCTGGGAAGGTGGCTCAGTGGTAGAGCACTTGCCTTGCATGCTCGAGGCCCTGGGTTCGATTCCTCAGCACCACATAAGAAAAAAAAAAACGGAAGTGGCGCTGTGGCTCAAGTGGTAGAGTGCTAGCCGCTAGCCTTGAGCTGAAGAGCTGAGGGACAGCGCCCAGGCCCAGAGTTCAGGCTCCATGACCGGACCCAAAAAAAAAAAAAAAAAACCACGAAAATGTACTTATTACCTTATTCATGTAACTGTAACCTCTCTGTATACTATTTTTACAATAAAAAAACAAAAAAAAAGCAAAAAAAATTTCTGTAAAATGAATTAAGATATAAGAAACCAGTCTACTGGTTTTTGCATGCTCTGTGCTATATATAAAATCTTGAGGGGCTGGGAAGGTGGATCAGTGGTAGAAAGCTTGCCTTGCATGCCTGAGGCCCTGGGTTCGATTCCTCAGCACCACATAAGCAAAAAGAAAAAAAAGCCAGAAGTGGTGCTGTGGCTCAAGTGGTAGAGCGCTAGCCTTGAGCTGAAGAGCTGAGGGACAGTGCCCAGGCCCAGAGTTCAAGCCCCACGAGCAGACCCAAAAAAATAAAAAAATAAATAAATAAAATCTTGAGATGTATTTTATATAAAACAGAAACTAAGGACCTGAACTCAAGTGCTAGAACACATACCAAGCAAACACAAGGACCTGAGTTTTAATCCCTAGTACTGCAAAAAGCTAACTAGGGACAAAAATGTATTTTATTTTGGAAATAAAAATTGAAATATTTCCCATTAATAATACTATAGCACAGTAATATACCATCACTAATCACAACTAAATTCATGTAAAAGCATATACATACTTTTTTTAAATGTTGATTGTTTATCAAAACCAACAGCATGTTTCGGAGAGGAAGGAAGTTCTTGATCAACACTGTCCTAGAAAGATTTTTTTTTTAATTAGAAAACAAAAATTATAGTTAAGAAAATGCTAATAATGGAACTAAGCACTGACCCACAAAAAGCCCCATGTCCTCCGGAAGACAGAGGCATAAGGATCAAAAATTTGAGGGTATATATTGCAAGTTCTAAGCCAACCAGGGTTACTATGGAAGACTATCTCAAATATATATATATATAAACAAGAAGCCCCTTATTTTCACTAGTCTAATTAAAATAATTTAAATACCTGCATAAAAGCTATAACTGGTCACTCCTGAAAGTTGAATTACTAAGAAATTAAATTGTCTATCAACCTTGTCACCCACAGAATGCTAAAAACAAATTCTAAAAACCTTAGCAAATTTCAACAAAAAACCATGAACTTATTTTAATAAGGTGGCATTAATCCAGTAGAGGCTGATATTAGGTCCACAAATGGTTTCTGTAAACCTCAAAAACCCCTAAACAAATAAGTAAATAAATAAAGCCATATTACAATAATTCCTTGGTATATTATGAAGTCCACCCTATTTTTATAGTATTGAGGTCACAGTTTTTCATTATTACCTCATTTTCAAAATAGCACCTATAACTGTACACTGAGAAGCTAACTACTGACCTATTTGTATGAAGATATGAGGGCTCTTACATAATTTTTTTAACAATTGTATACTTTTATTTTAAAATAATTGTTTTAAACATAAGTTTAACTTAAAAAGTTATAGAATAATCTTAGTGAAAAACAACTTTGTTAAATAGTAAACTGACTAAAATGTGTTTAAGTTTCAGACTTAGAGATTAAGAAAAACCACTGAAGACAGGAATTAGGCATAAAACTTCAATCATATTGATATATATATACTATTTGTCTTACTCCAGCGTAGAGCTAACTTCAACTTGAAATAAGGATATTATTAGACAGAATGAACAAAGTGGTTTTACAGAAAGGACAGACCCCAAGTAAAGACCCTATAAACAGTTCCAAGTGCATATTCATTTCTACTTTTCCCCTACATTACTCACAGGAACAAAATTAAGTTCTTTCATCACATCATCAATGATTCCTCGCCGTCTAAGGGCTTTGATCAGATCTTCTGTTGATAAATGTTGTTGGTCAGGTGCCAATTCTTCACGTATTGTTTCCGCAAGAATTTCCCTTATTCTGCCATGGACATCCATCTGAAGAGGACTCACAGTATAGTTTACAACATTACAAAGCAATTAAATACCATCCACTTTTTAGGCTTCTAGAGCTAGCAGAAAACCTCCAGTTGTTATAGAGAACAAGATAAGCTTTTTTAATTTTTTAAATATAACTTTATTGTTATTATTAAGGGGTTGTACAGAGGGGTTACCTTTCATAAATCAGGCAATGTGTACACTTGCTTTTGGACAATGTCACTCCTTTCCTTCATTTTCCCTCCGTTTTTTCCCTCTTGTCCTTGGCCCACAAGTTGCATAGTTCATTTTCCACATAGTGTCTACTGGGTATCATGACTGCGTTTGTTTACACTTCTTCCCTCCACTCAAAGGTAAGCTTTTACACGATAACACTCCTAAGTAAAATTCCAAGAATCATCTCTAACGGTTACCTACTACCTTGCTTACCCTTTATTCACAAATAACACTCGATGACAACAAAATCGGCTAAGAAGAAATTATTCAGAGTACACCTACCTGGCGGAGTTTGCAGATGAAAGAGTTTCCGCTCTCACCTTAATAGACGTACAACCCTGCGCTACCTTATGAATCTGATGCCTCCCCTCCAGATGGGAAAGGTGGGCTGTGGAGAGGATTCGAGCACGGGCGCCCCATAACCAAAGGCTTTGTTACTTCAACTCCGGGCGCTCAGCTGAGCGCCCCCAGAGTTCTTGAGCTCGGAAAATGGTAACCAGGTTCGTTCATCTTCATTTTCTAGTCTCCTCTCCTTGCCTTCTTAAAGAACCGCGGATGGGAGGGCGCTCCGGGGTCCCCCTTACAGTAACCAGTCGACAAATCCGCTCCCAGGGCATCTCACACGCGATGCGACCCGGAGAACTCGCCCGCCAATCGCTCCGTGTTTACAACCGTCCAACAACCAGACCGTTCCATGACTCGCTATTTCTAGAACTCTCTCTGCTTGTTCTTCTGCTGAGGCTACAAAACGGCTCTGGCCTCACCCACAAGCCCTCTCCGGGGTCCCGGTCCCGCCTGCTCTCACCTTGCTCAGCTGCTGCTGGATGAGCTGCTTCAGTTCCGAGGCTTTCTCCGGAGGCAGTGACATGTTGGCGGCCAGAGCCTCCAGGCAGCTCCCCGCCTCCGACGCTCTAACACAGGGGGTCGCCGAGGTACAGCCGCGGAGCCTCAGTGGAGGACAGGCTCAGCGGCCGACCGCGCGCAGCAACCGAGGAGCGCAGCGCAGCGTCAGGTCTGCGTCCGGAGAGAACCAAGGTTGCCGCGGCGGCGGCGGCGCCAACTGTTTTCAAACGGCGCCGGGAGGACCAGATTTTGGGCTGTCCGCCCCATTGCCTGATCACTTCCGTCCGCGCCCCATCTTGTCGCAGGACCTGCACCACACAGCTTCAGCGCACTCGGTCACCTGGTCTTGGCAGCTGCCCCAAAGCTCTTCTTGTTTCCTCTCTCCACCCCTGGTGGCGACCTCTTTCAGCCCTGTGTGCCGGCAGGAAGCTGGACAGTCCCACAGAACCAGGCGCCGAGGGGATTGAAGGACCCTGTCGGCTAGGCGCCGGGCTCTGGGGACTGAACAGTGTGGAGTCGACGCCGATCTCAGGTTTCCGCTGTCCTAGCACCCTCGTTCTTCTCAAGTCCGGGTTCATACCTTTCCTCTCTGCCAAAAATGTTTGTTCCCTGCGGGGAGTCGGTGCCCGACCTCACGGGCTTCACCCTCTTGATGGTGAGTCTCGGCTTGAGCTGGCGGCTGCCGCCACCCGGACCCGGGCTAACCCACCCGACCTCGGGAGAAGTGGAGTTGTTTCTTCTGCTAAGGATTTTCAGCTTGAAAAAAAAAAAAATAGGAGGGAGGTTGGCAGATGTCCACATGGAACCTTTGGCGGTGCCACCAATAGTCGTCTACGAAATGTAGACTTCGTTGACTGTTAGGACGTTTTATGTGTGGGTATTACACATATACTGTACATACCTTGTGTGGGGCAGGCCTAAATTTTATCTTTGAAAGCCTGTTTCCGAATAGTGTAGAGATAGTCCTAAGCTAGCATATCATTGTCATTAGGCAACTACTGTTCGAGTAATAAAAGTAACGTTTGCCTGTGGACAGTGGTACCATTGCCGGCATTCAGTCATTGTTTCAGTAAGCAGGCTGTTAGGTATAAATATTAGCTTATTCTCAGAGAGTTTGCATTCTTTTGGAAAACTCGCGGAAATCAGTAAGATCAATATAATTAGGAAGTTTGAAAAACATACAGAAAAGCCTTAAGGTAATTGATAGGAGGAACACAACACATGGACCTGTGAAGAAAAGCTTCTTAGAGAAATTAATGTCTTTTACTGGGCTCCGATGGCTCATGCCTGTAATCTTAGCTGCTCAGCAGGCTGAGATCTGAGGACCAATGTTTGAAGCCAAACGAGGCAGAAAAATCTGAGGAACTCATCTCCAATTAACCAGCAAAAAAAATAAAACCGGGCCTCGGAAGGTGGCTCAGTGGTAGAGCGCTTGCCTTGCAATGCATGAGGCCCTGGGTTCGATTCCCCAGCATCACATAAGCAAAAAGAAAAAAAAGCCGGAAGTGGCGCTGTGGCTCAAGTGGTAGAGCGCTAGCCTTGAGCTGAAGAGCTGAGGGACAGCACCCAGGCCCAGAGTTCAGGCCCCACAACCGGACCCAAAATAAATAAATAAATAAATAAAACCAGCTAGAAGTGGAGGTGTGGCTCAAATGGTAGGGTGACAGCTTTAAGCAGATATGCAAAGCAGGAATATGAGGCCCTGAGTTCAAGCCCCAGTACAAAGCACAGAGAGGGGGAGGAGTTAATATCTGACACAGCATGGAGCATTGGGGCTGCAAAGAATGTGTAGTGGCACATTGGGAAGGAATTGTTTGGAGGCTCTGTGAATCCAGAAGACACCACTGGAGAATGTATTGTTTTTAGTGGTGTAAGACTAGAGAGAGAACTTTTATTCCAAGGGTCTTTTTAGTCAACAACATGGTGGCCGTCTAGGCACAGTTACTAACTGGAGTGATAAAGGGTAGAGTAGTAGCCTTATTGAAGTGGGTTAAATAAGTAAAAGCCTTACTAAGGTGTGTAGCTATATTTGAGATGGAGAATTGTGTATGTTGTGTATTCATCAGTTCAGAGATGAAGTTGTTAAGCTTTAGTGGACAACTTGGTGAAGTTTAGTTGGCTATGTAGGGTGAGAAGTGAGGTGACAGCTAGGAAAATACATGGAGTCATGAGAGGATTTTTTTTTTTTTTAGAATAAGAGGTATTAGAACATGTGTACATGCTGACAGGATTAATTTGTTAGTGAGGAAAGGAGGGATTATACACTTGAGGCTAACCAAAGTAACAAAATCATTGGGAAGGGAATTACTAGGTAGCCAGATGAGATTAATGAGAAGTTAGAAAATGCTTAGGAAATCCTGAAGATCAAAAGAAAACAGTTGTTGGAAGAATGCAATGGAGGAGCTCATTAAAGAGATACTTTGGGATACTGACCATGATGTCACCTAGCTAGTGGAGAGGCAGAGACAGGAAGATCCTAGTTCACTAGTAGCCTGAAAAAAAATAGTGAGATTGTCTCAAAACAAAACAACAAGAACAACAACAACAAAAAAGATGTGATGAATGCCTATAGTCTCAGGTGCTTGAGAAGCAAAAGAAGTAAGTTGGAGGCCAGCACAAGCAAAGTTATCATAAAATCCTATTTGAAAAACAAAACTAAAAGCAAAAGACCTAAAGGTATGACTCAAATGGTAAAGCACTTGCCTAGAGGTCCTGAATTCAGTCTCAAATACTGAAGGAAAAGAATACTTAGGATAGGAGACTGAGGCAGAGAGGATCTTGAGTTTGAGGCCAGCCTGGGTTATCATATATTCTATATTCTTTTTTTGGGGGGTCCAGTCATGGGGCCTGGACTCTGGGCCTAGGTGCTGTCCCTCAGCTCTTCAGCTCAAGGCTAGCGCTCTACCACTTGAGCCACAGCACCACTTCCAGCTTTTTCTTTTTGCTTATGTGGTGCTGAGAAATCGAACCCAGGGCCTCAAGCATGCAAGGCAAGCACTCTACCACTGAGCTACCTTCCCAGCCCCATATAGTCTATATTCTAAGGACTGAATCAGATGTAATTGATAAAGGAAAAGGAAGGAATTTCATAATTTAAGCCAATGAGGGAATAATTTTGCTCTTTTGTGAAATACAGATAAAAGGACAAGATTGGGCAAAGTTCAGATTGTACATATTGAATGAGCTTCCTATGCCATAATCTACATCCAGTAGATTGGAACTAGAAAATAATTGTGGGATATAGGTAGATATTTGGGTCTTTGTTGTTATAGGTATGTGTATGTAACATAAAAGGATCACTTCTGGGAGTGGATAGGGAAAGAGATAAGAAAGTAAGCAAACTGGCAGAAGGCCAAGATTGATTTTGTTTGTACCTCATATCCCTTAACACTTGGCTTTTTCACTGTCTGCACCATTCTTTTCCCAGAGTGATAAGATTCTTTAGCTTATTCAGGTATGTAGTCATTTTTCATCTGAAATGAGTCTTCTTGATCATCCTATTTAAAATTGAAATCGACTACAAGCACATTTACACTCACTTTTTCTCTATAGCACTTAAACATTGTTTATTACATGCAAGCCATTAGAATGGAAGCTTCATGAGGGCAGAAACGTCTGTTGGTTTGTTTTACTACATGAAATTCAATATGTACCTGTGCACCTGTACAAAAGCATTCAATTCTATTGCTTTGGTTATTACCTTCTGTTTAAACTTTTTAAAGAGCTGCTGATTTTGGTGACTCATTTAACATATCTTTTTTTTTTTTTCCAGCCAGCTGTATCTGTTGGGAATGTTGGCCAACTTGCAATGGATCTGATTATTTCTACACTGGACATGTCTAAGATTGGTTACTTCTATACAGATTGTCTAGTGCCAATGGTTGGAAACAATCCTTATGCAACTGCAGAAGAAAATTCAACAGAACTCAGTATCAATGCTGAAGGTATGTCTTTAGCATGGTTTTGTTTTTTGGATGGTTTTTTTTTTTAATATGTTGTTTTATATATGGTTTTTGACATGGGTCTTACTGTGCACCCCAGGCTGGCCTAGAACTAACTGTGTAGTCCAGATTGGCCTCAAAAAAAAACAAACCACAGGCTACTCAAGTGTTAAGAATTACAGGTGTATTCCACCACACTTGGCTTGAGTCTTTTTTTAATTTGGAATTAGACACAAAGGTGGGCATGGTGATACATACCTATAGCCTACTTACAAGGAAGGCTGGAGCAAGAGAATCATTTCAGCTCAGGAGTTTTAAGTCCAGCCTAAGCAACATAGCAAGAGCTTGTCTAAAAAGAAAAAAAAAGACAGGACCTAAAGAGCAATAGATAAATGAGCCCTGATGTTTAATGCTTAATGATGAAATAAAAAGCATAAGTTGGTTTTGATAGAAAGAAGAAAGACTCCAGTAGAACATTCCTAAGAGCTATAATTGAACCTCTGGTCTAAGAGAGCTCAGGGCAGTGTCCTCTAGGTCTGGAAAGAAAGGCTTAGTTTAAGTGAGCCCAAAGGCCTCGGCCACAGCAGGCGGGGCCTCCTTTCATCTGCATATCACTTTCTCCCCTTCTTGGTCTATGTTTCTTAGCTTGGGTCAGAAGACCCAGTGCCATGAGACTAAATGTAGTCTTTGTTTTTCTTTTTTTGTTGTTGTTGTTGGTTGTGGGGCCTGAACTCTGGGCCTGGGTGCTGTCCCTCAGCTCTTCAGCTCAAGGCTAGTGCTCTAGCATTTGAACCACAGAGCCACTTCTGGCTTTTTCTTCTTATATGGTGCTGAGGAATCGAACCTGGGTCCTCATATGCAAGGCAAACACTCTACCACCGAACCACCTTCACAGTCCTAGTCTTTGTTTTTCTGTAAAAGAATCCTAGACAATCAGTAAGAGAAGATGATAAACATACCCCATAGCATCTTCCCGCCCTAATATGAAGTTTATTGAGAAAGAAATAGAGAGAGAGAGAGAGAGAGAGAGTGTGTGTGTGTGTGTGTGTTGGTCCTGGGGCTTGAACTCAGGGCCTAGCCACTGTCCTTGAGCTTTTTAGTTCAAGGAAGCCACAGTTCTGACTTTTTGGTGGTTAATTGGAGATTAGAGTCTCATGGACTTCCTACCCAGCCTGGCTTTGAACTACAGTCCTTAGATCTCACCCTCCTAAGTAACTAGGATTGCAGGTATGAGCCACCAGTCTGGCTGTGATAGGATCTTGCTTTTTTTTTTTTTTTTTTTTGGTCAGTCATGGGGCTTGAACTCTCTGGGCCTGGGTGCTGTCCCTGAGTTCCTCAGCTCGAGGCTAGTGCTCTACCACTTGAGCCACAGGACCTTCCTGCTGGGCTGGCTTTGAATCTTGATCCTCAGATCTCAGCCTCCTGAGAAGCTAGAATTACAGGCATGAGCCACCATGCCTGGCTTAGGATCTTGCTTTTTGCCTTGGGCTAGCACAAAGAGATTGAGTTGTTTGATACTACCAATAGTATATGCTTTTCCTTGACCATAAGACTGTAATTTCTTCTTGACTGTCAGGCTTGATATCAGGGAACAATGGTTATAAATATAGGATAGAACCAAGTGAGTAGGGAAGAGTTCCTATTGATCATGAAGCACAAGAGCATCTAGTTGCTTCGTTTGATAGCCTCTTAATCATCTGTTTAACCATTTTTATTTTAAGTTTTAGCAGTCTTGAGGCTTGAACTTAGGGTCTGGTAACTGTCGCTGAGCTCTTCTGCTCAAGGCTAGTGCTCTGCCACTTTGAGCTCCACTTCCAGTTTTTTGGTAGTTAATTGGAAATAAAAGTCTCATGGGGACTTTCCTGCCTGGGCTGGCTTCAAACTGTAATCCTCAGATCTCAGCCTCTCGAGTAGCTAGGATTACAGATGTGAGCCACTGGTGCCTAGCTGCTTAACCATTGTAATGTCAAATCAGAAAGTGATAGAAAGGGCTGGGAAGGTGGCTCAGTGGTAGAGCGCTTGCCTTGCATGCATGAGGCCCTGGGTTCGATTCCTCAGCACCACATAAGCCGAAAAAAAAAAAAGCCGGAAGTGGCACTGTGGCTCAAGTGGTAGAGCATTATCCTTGAGCTGAAGAGCTGAGGGACAGTGCCCAGGCCCAGAGTTCAGGCCCTCTACGGGACCCAAAAAAAATAATAATAGACAGAAAGTGATAGAAGAGCTTGAGAGGCCATTGGTAGATTGAAAGACAAATGAACTAATATCTTAGTTATCATATATAAAGTTCTTAGCTTACAATAAAAAAAATCCTTTTGGGAAGTAATCTTACCACAGAAATTCCTGAAAGAAAGATAGCTTTGTTATTTTATGAAATTATTTTATGCCTTAAAAGATAAAAGATTTGACAGGCACCTGGCTTATGCCTATAATCCTAGCTACTCTGGAGGGTAAGATCTGGGGATCAAGATTTGAAGCCATCCTGGGCAAGAAGTGGAGCTGTGGCTCAAGTGGTAGAGCATTAACCTTGAGTACAAAAGCTCAGTGACAGCACCCAGACCTTTAATTTTAGGTGCTTTTTATTTCTTTATCTTTTTTTCTTTTTTTTTTAAGTTTTAATTTTTTTTTTATTAGTGCTGGGTATTGAGCTAGGTCCTTGTACTTCTAAGCAAGTGCTGTTCCACTGAGCTATATCCCTAGCCTTCCATAGCTAGATGAGGAAGACATGGCCTGGAGAAGTTCTGTGTTTGATAACTGGTGTATGATAACTGATGTAACTGAGATTCTTGTGTGTGTGTGTGTGTGTGTGTGTGTGTGTGTGTGTGTGTGTGTGTGTGTTGGAGAAGTTCTGTGTTTGATAACTGGTGTATGATAACTGATGTAACTGAGATTCTTTGTGTGTGTGTGTGTGTGTGTGTGTGTGTGTGTGTGTGTGTGTGTGTCAGTTGTGGGGCTTGAACTCTGGGCTTCGGCGCTGTCCCTGTGCTCTTCAGCTCAAGGCAAGTGCTCTACAGCTTGAGCCACAGCGCCACTTCTGGTTTTCTAGTGGTTTATTGGAGATAAAAGTCTCACTGACTTTCCTGCCCGGGATGGCTTTGAACCGCGATCCTCAGATCTGAGCCTCCTGAGTAGCTAGGATTATAGGAGTGAGCCACCAATGCCTGGCTTTGTAACTGAGATTCTAATCAAGGCAATGTAACCCCAAAAACCTTACCACTCTGCTATTGCATCTCACTCAAAACACACCCTACTGTGCTGTGGTCTCACACGCTGGCAGTAAATCAGTGCACGAATATAATTCTTACCTACTTTATTTATGCCTGTACTCAACCACTGGATCCCAGCCATTATTTTTTATTGTGAAAATACTGTACAGAGGAGTTACAATTACACGGGCAAGATAATGAGTACATTTCTTATCAAGCATTGTAGCCTCCTCCTTTGTTTCCCCTTCCCATCCTCCCCCCGCCCCCCCCCACCCAATCCTCCCCGTCCCTCCCCCCCAATCCTCCCTGTCCCCCCTTCCCTCCCCCCCTACGAAAGTTGTAAAGTTTGTTTTCGACATAATGACTTGTACATCTCATTGTTGCAATGGGTCCACCTGTATCCCTATTTAAATGCTTTGTTTTCCCCCTTCCCCTCCACAAATTATACCGACATCAAATACAGTGAAAGCAGGGGTTATACTGTGGGGGAGGGCCCAGCCATTTTTTTTTAAAGATGAGTTATTTAAAAAATGACATTCTATAACCTAATACATATATATGTATGTATATATGTGTATGTATGTGCATCTTAAAAGATAAAAATATTTTCTTACATAACTAAAATGACATTACTGTTAAAATTAGTATTTTCTAATATCTTCTTGTATCTCATCCTATTTTACTCAAAATATCACTTAAAACTAGCTTCTTCAGATCAGAACCTGTAATATATCTGACTGTTGTACCCTTGAATCATTTATTTTAGAAAATATGGGGCTGGGAAGGTGGCTCAGTGGTAGAGTGCTTGCCTTGCATGCATGAGGCCCTGGGTTGGATTCCTCAGCCACCACATAAGCAAAAAAGAAAAAAGCCAGAAGTGGCGCTGTGGCTCAAGTGGTAGAGTGCTAGCCTTGAGCTGAAGAGCTGAGGGACAGCGCCCAGGCCCAGAGTTCAGGCCCCCCGACCGGACTCAAAAAAAAAAAAAAATTAGAAAATAAAAGTCCCTTTTATTCTTCTTCATCATAAAACTGATCTATTGAAGAAAGTCTGACCCATAGACTATAAATATTACCTTCTGCATTTGTCTGGTCATTTCCTTGTGCTGTCATTTGGCTTATTCATCTAACTTTCGTAGTTTCCAAAACAAGCTAGGTCTGAAGGTTTGATTTAATATAAGATAGGTGTTGTTGGCTAAAATATATAAAGGGTGATGTTGTTTTCTATTACATCAGAAGAAAAAGTACAAGAAAACAGGATCCTAACTGATGGAAAATGTAGGAGTTGCTATTACTGAAGATGATGTGTCTTAGATAGTTTTTTTGTTTTTGTTTTTGTTTTTCTTTTTGGCAGTCCTGGAGCTTTTGAACTCAGAGCCTGGCACTCCCCCTGAACTTTTGTGCTCAAGGGTAGTACTCTACCACTTTGAGACAGGGTGCCATTTCTGGTTTTTGAGCGGTTAATTGAAGATAAGAGTCTCATGGGGATTTTTCTGCCTGGACTGGCTCCAAACCAATATCATCAGATCTCAGCCTCTTGAGTACCTAAGATTACGTGTGAGCCACCAGCATCCAGCTGTGTCTTAGATTGTAAGTTTAGTCTGCCTGTACCCTACAGATTACTTTTCACACCTATATCTGTTAAGTTGTACTGTATATGTATGTCAAAGATAGACTAGCAGCCTGTGTTTTCTTATACCTACTCTCTTTTTCCTCATTCCTAATTTTGCTGCTCTACTTCCTTTGGCCTGAATGTACCTGGGGCTCACTAGACTGACTTGCTGACTGTGGCATAATCCTTACTCTCACTATATCATATGAATCATAAGGAGATAATTCCCAGAAATTGTAACATGGGAGAACTGATTCTCAAAGCATTTGCTTAATTTAAGGTTATGTGCAGTCCTTCCTTTTTGTGTACATATATGCATTTGTGTTTATGTGTGTTTATGTGAGTATTGGCAATTGAATGAACTCAGAGCCTGAGTGCTGTCTCTCAGCTTTTTTGCTCAAAGTTCACACTTTAACACTTGAGCCACAGCTTACTTCCAGCTTTTTGTTTGTTAGAGTTAAGAGCCTTATGGATGGGGCTGGGAAGGTGGCTCAGTGGTAGAGCGCTTGCCTTGCATGCCTGAGGCCCTGGGTTCGATTCCTCAGCACCACATAAGCAAAAAGAAAAAAGCCGGAAGTGGCGCTGTGGCTCAAGTGGTAGAGCGCTAGCGTTGAGCTGAAGAGCTGAGGGACAGCGCCCAGGCCCAGAGTTCAAGCCCCATAACTGGACCCCCCCTTCCCCCCCCAAAAAAAAGAGCCTTATGGACTTCCCTAGCCTTAGCTGGCTTCAAACCTTGATTTTCAGTCTCAGCCTCCTGAGTAGCACCCAGCTAATGTGATCTCTTTATAGTATCTAAAAGCTTTATCTTAGGACTGAGGGTGTGGGTTAAGTGGCTGAGCATCTGTCTAACAAACATGAGGCCTTGAATTCGAATGCCAGTATTGCCTCCAAAAATCTTTTACTATAAAAGCTTAACCTTGGAGCTGGGAATGTAGCTTAGTGGTAGAGTGCTTGCCTAGCATGCGTAAAGCCCTGGGTTTGATTCCTCAGTACCACATAAACAGAAAAAACCAGAAGTAGTGCTGTGGCTCAAGAGCTAGAGTACTAGCCTTGAGCAAAAGAAACTAGGGTCAAGTGCCTAGGCCCTGAGTTCAAGCCCCAGGACTGGCGGGACAAGCCAGTTCAAGCCCCAGGAAAGGGAGGGAAGCTTAATCTTTAGCACAATTGACCTAGACCTGTCTCCTTAGTGGCTCTTTTGTTCATACAAGAACTTATTTGTAGATGTGAAATTGAGGAAAGGATCCTTAAGTGTTACTAGAATAGGCCCTTCTAAAATCTAGTGGAAGTTATTAATCTTCTTCCCAGAAAAAAAATATGTATACACATCAGCTCACAGAAAGTTTTATACTATTTCAGGGCCTTCGAAATGTTCTAAAGAATACAAGCATACGTATTCCATGATTTGATTATATGGCTAACATTCTCTTGCTTTTTACTATTTCTTCCATTAATCTCAGTAAGTGTTGCTGTTCTTAGAAGAGGGAAGTGTATCAGAAACTGAAAGTTTAGATTTCTTAAGAAATTTATTTGCTATAATACCAGAAATTTCTGGGGTATGTGGCCGGGGACGGGGGGTGGAAACCTCTGATTTTACATCTGAAGTCAGAAGAAAAGAAACTATTTTTAGAGATGTGGCTTGATGTGTTATGTAGTCCAGATCCAAACTCTTGGGCTCAAGCCGTCTGGTGCCTCACTTTCCACAGAAGTTAGGACAACTGAATGCATGTCATCATGCCAAGTTAAAAAAAAATACTTTTTTATGTTTTCTTACAGTTTAAAGATTAATATATTACATAGGATAAAGCTCATTGGCACATTTTAAGTTCCTTTTAAAATGTATTGTTTTAATCAGTTGATATGCTGCATATGTTTTAAAGCTGGATGTGGTACCATGTGCCTATAATCTCAACTTCTCAGAAGGCTGAGGCAGGAAAATTGTGAGTTGAAGGCCAGGCTAGGCAGCATAGTGAGACATCATCTTTAAAAAAGAAGCACATAAATTGTGTGTGTGTGTGTGTGTGTGTGTGTGTGTGTGTTATACATATGTTTGTGTTTATATATTTTTTGGTGGCTATTCTGGCGTTTGAACTCAGGGACTTGTGTTTGCTAGGCAGCTATTCTATCACTTGAGTCATAACCCCAGCCTTATCTCTTTTTATTTATTCTTTAATAGGGTCTTGGGGTTTTTTTGCTGGGAAAGCCTAGACCATGATCCTTCTATTTGTGCTTCCCAGGTAGCTGGGATGACAATTATACATCCACCTTATTATTGAGATTGGGTTTTGCTAACCTCTCAAACCATGATCCTCCCAATCTCCAACCACCATGTAGGTGTAGTTATAGGCATGAGCCACTATCCCCAATTTATATTGAAAATACTGAGATGACTGGGTGCTAGTGGCTCACGCCTGTAATCTTACTCAGGAGGCTAAGATCTGAGGATCGCAAGTTCAAGCCAGCCTGGGCAGGAAAGACTGTGAGACTCTTATCTCCAATAAACCGCCAGAAAATCAGAAGTGCCCTGTGGTTCAAGTGGTAGAGTGCTAGCCTTAAGCTGAAGAGCTAAGAGATAGCGCCAAAGCCCAGAGTTCAAGCCCCATAACTGACAAAAAAAGAAAAAGAAAATACTGAAATGCAAAAGCTATAATAATTCAGGTATTGTTTTATCATTAATAATTTCAACTTAGGGCTGGGAAGGGGGCTCAGTAGTAGAATGCTTGCCTTGCATGCATGAGGCCCTGGGTTCGATTCCTCAGCACCACATAAGCAGAAAAAACCAGAAGTGCTGTGGCTTAAGTGGTAGAGTGCTAGCCTTGAGCTGAAGAGCTGAGGGACAGTACCCAGGCCCAGAGTTCAGGCCTCACAACCAACAAAATAGTAATAGTAATAATAACAATAATTTCAACTTATTAACTTCTTATGATTTAATTTTCTTTGTAGTTTATTCATTGCCTTCAAGAAAGCTAGTGGCTCTTCAGTTAAGATCTATTTTTATTAAGGTTGGTATGTTACATTTACTTTTTAAAATTTATTAAAGTAAAATGCAATGAGAAAGTCTCATTAAGAATTAAAATTTTAAAAATCATTTCTACTATGTTATATGTATGGTTAAAAATAATGTGACCCTACAGAGAAATAACTTCATAATATTTCAGTATATTCCTCTTATTTCATGGTTATATAGAAGGGAATTGAGGCTTATATCTTGGATATTATGACATTTTCCATTCAGGTACTATTGGTAACAAATGTAGGTGTATCAATATTATAGATTTATTCCATTTGAATTACATTTCAGCCCCAAACATCATTGTATAAATTATGTGTATGTCAAGTTACATACATAAAGTACATAAATATCTTTCCACTGCTACCACTTAAGAAAAACCAGTCATCTGGCAGTTAGCTGGGTATAGAATCCAGGACCCCCCTCATGCTAGGCAACTGCTCTGCTACACTGACAATGAATGAAAACTTTAGTTGTCAGTTATACTAGTCATGTTTCCAGTGCTCAGTGGCCACACGTGACAAGAGGTTCATCACTATGATCCCTGGAGAGTTCTTCTGGACAGCTGCTCCACATGATCTGACCTTCAGCCCTACTGGCTGCCTGCCTAATAGTTTACACACATTGGGTTCCCACTGTTTCTCTGCTTGGAATGCTTTCCTTCTTGAGAACCAAATATCTTACTTCCTTTATTCTTTATCTAAATATTACTTCATCTGAAAGGTCTTCCCTGTCTACCCTTTCCGTGTTCTCTATTCTATGTTCATTTTCATCAAAAATCATGACTAGGGCCAGGCACTGTGGCCCAGTGCTGCAATTCCACTTACTAAGGAGGTGGAGATGGAGATGATTGCAGCTTGAGGCCAGCTCAGGTAAATAGATCCTATAACAGTTAATAAGCCAGACATAGTGGTTACCTGTAATCCCTACTACTTGGGAAGCCATATGTAGGAAATTCTCAGTCTGAGGCTGGCCTGAAAAATAACTAAAACTAAAAGAACTGGTGGTGTAGCTCAAGTTAAAGAGTACCTGACTACCAAGTGTGAGGCCATAAGTTCAAACCCCAGTACCACCAAAAATAAATGAAAAACATCAGTACTTGACATGTCATGTGTGTGTTTATTACCTACCTCTCTAGTGGAAAGTAAACATTCTGAGAGAATCAGGCCTGTGGTATTCACTCTTTTACCACAGCTCCTACAGCAGTGCTTTGTTCATAGAGATATTCTCAGTAAGTATTGGTTGAGTGGCTTATTTGAAATTAGTCGAGCACCATTTGTTCAGGATGTCAGAAATATATGAGGTTGTTTGGTTTTTTGAGATAGTCTCACTGTGCTATTCAGACAGGCCTCAAACTTGCTACCCTCCTGCCTCAACTTCTCAAGTAATGGGATGACAGGCCTACACCACCACACTCAGTTGGTAATAAGGGATTTTTGTGTGTGCATGTGTCGGTCATGGTGCCTGAACTCTGGGCCTGGGTTCTATCCTTCAGCTCTTCAGCGCAAGTATAGCACACTACCACTTGAGACACGGCACTAGTTCCGGCTTTTTTTGTTTATGTAGTGCTGAGGAATCGAACCCAGGGCCTCATGCATGCAAGGCAAGCACTCTACCGCTGAGCCACCTTCCCAACCCGAAATAGGGGATTTTTAGTGGCAAGGTTAACTCTATAAAACATGTTTTCACTTTTTATTGAAGTATACATAGAGCGAAGGACACAGTTCATAGATATATAGCCTGATGAGTTTTCACAAAGTAAACTATGAAACCCAGCCTCCTGGTCAAGAAATAACCTTTCAAAGGACCATGATCCTTCTCACATAGATGGCATCTTTAATAGTGTGTGTTCCTCTAGCTTTCTGTATGCGACATTCTGTCTGTGATGTTTATCCATTTTGTTGCCAGTGACAAGTGTTCATTCTTTCTTTTGGCATCCTGCTGTGTAAGTAAACCATACCTGCCAGTAGCTTGAGGCTACCAGGAACAGTGCTGCTTTCATCATTTGTGAATTTATAAGACTCCTTTCTTCATTAAAAGAGTTAGTACTTGAGTTTTGCATGGAGAGTAACCTACCTTTATAGATTATGCCACATGGCATTTTGGTCCTCTTCCAGTGTCTTTTTTTTTTTTTTTGTCTGTCATGGGGCTTGAACTCTGGGCTTGTGTGCTGTCCCTGGGCTCTTCAGCTCAAGGCAAGCGCTCAACCACTTGCCACAGCATCACTTCCAGTTTTCTAGTGGTTTATTGGAGATAAGAATCTCATGGCCTTTCCTGCCTGGGCTAGCTTTGAACCACGATCCTCAGATCTTAGCCTTCTGAGTAGCTAGGATTACAGGTGTGAGCCACTGGCCCCCAGCCCAATGTCATTATTTTGGGGGGGGTCCAGTCGTGGGGCCTGAACTCTGGGCCTGGGCGCTGTCCCTCAGCTCTTCAGCTCAAGGCTAACACGCTACCACTTGAGCCACAGCACCACTTCCGGCTTTTTTTCTTTTTGCTTATGTGGTGCTGAGGAATCGAACCCAGGGCCTCATGCATGCAAGGCAAGCACTCTGCCACTGAGCCACCATCCCAGCCCCGCAATGTCATTTTTAAAATTGAGATATGTACCAGGAGGTGATGGCTCATGCCTGTAATCCCAGCTACTCAGGAAGCTGAGATCTGAGGATCATGGATCAAAACCAGCCTGGGAAGAAAAGTCCCTTTGAGACTCTAATCTCCAATCAACTACTCAAAAAACAGTTGTTGCTGTGGCTTAAAGTAGTAGAGTGCTAGGATTGAGCAAAAGAGCTTAGGGACAGTACTCCCAGGCCCTGAGCTCAAGCCCTACAACCTACAAAAAAATTGAAATAGGCAATTTATATGCTTCTGAGTTAACTCTGGAGATGTAAATAATGATTTTTAAATAGTAAACATTTACTGAGCATGGTTTCTTTACACTAACACTATTTGAAATATATATATTAGTCTACTTTAATCTTCACAATTCCATGAGGCAGCTACTGACATTATTCATTAGGTGAGAAGTGAAACCCAGGAAAGTTAAGCAATTTCCTGAGGCATACACTCCTGAAGAACTGGAGACAGCATTCTACTTCAGACAACTTGCCTCTTTCTGGTGTTATACTGTTTTTTCTCTTTGTGTGTCTCTATCTCTTTCTCTTTCTCTTTTTCTTTTTTCTCTCTCTTCCCTTTCTTCCCTCTCTTCCTTTTCTCCCCTCTCTACTCCCTCCTCTTTTTCTCCCATCCCTCTCTCTTTTTTCAATGCTGAGAACCAAACTCGGGGCCTTGCACTTACTACACAAGCACTCTTCTACAGAGCTAAATCCCCGTACACCTGCTGTCTTTTTTATAATTAGCCATTTTTCACTTCCATTTTAAATTTTAGCAACTATTTTTCATTTTCATAAAGCAGGTCCCCCTCCCCAAAATTTTGTAACTCAGATTTGGCAATTGTTAAAATGTTGTCACACCTGCTTGATCTTTCTGTGCCTACAAACACACACACACACACACACACACACACACACATTTTCTGTAAACTAATCCAGAAATTGGCTAGCAATAGGATACTTCACCCCAAGTGTCCATACTTTCAACAGCAAGGACAGGTTGCTAGGGCTTTGACTCTGCCTAGTATGCATGAGGCTTGTGGACAGTGTTCTGTGCCACAAAAAAGGGCATTCTTGTCACAACCATAACACTTGAAAAAATCAGCATATAATAACTTATTATAAAGTGTTACTCAGGGAGAGAATGAGGGAACAGATGATACTGTATAAAAGGAAATGTACTTATTACCTGATTTGTGTAAGTGTAACCCTTCTGTATATCACCTCTAAAAGGTGTTACTCACTTATTTCCAAAATTTCTTTCAGTTTTGGATTCAGTCAAGAATCACATGTTGGGCTGGGAAGGTGGCTCAGTGGCAGAGCGCTTGCCTTGCATGCATGAGGCCCTGGGTTCGATTCCTCAGCACCACATAAGCAAAAAGAAAAAAAGCCGGAAGTGGTGCTGTGGCTCAAGTGGTAGCGTGTTAGCCTTGAGCTGAAGAGCTGAGGGACAGCGCCCAGGCCCAGAGTTCAGGCCTGACAACTGGCAAAAAAAAAAAAAAAAGAATCACATGTCATAGTCTTCCTCTTCTTTCTATTTGTTGTTGTTGGTGGTGGTGGTGGTGGTGGTGGTGGTGGTGGTGGTGGTGGTGGTGGTGGTGGTGGTGGTGGTGGTGGTGGTGATTGTGGGGCTTGAACTCTAGGTCTGGGTCCCTGAGCTCTACAGCTCAAGACAAGCACTCTACCACTTGAACCACAGCAAGACTTCCGGTTTTCTGGCGGTTAATTGGAGATAAGAATCTCACAGACTTTCCTTGCCTGGCTGGCTTTGAACCACGATCCTCAGATCTCAACCTCCTGAGTAGCTAGGATTACAGGCATGAGCCACCAGCTCTTGGCTTTCTTTCTATTTTTCCCTGTATTATTTTGAGAAAGGAGGCCGTGTGTCCATCACTCTGTAGTCATCTAGTGATTTCTTCATGATTAGATTTCAGTCAGAAATTTCTAGCAATGACCATGTGATAAATATTAACAGTAGATTACTTAAGTAACAGAAAGGGAAATTATATTTAGAGTAGAATATTTTGGAATCTAGAGTTCTCAAAAAATTGTAAAAATAAATAAATCACTGCCCTTTTTATTTGCAGTTTAAAAATAGTGGATCTGACAGTACTAATAATTTTATTTTCCAGAAATTGTCATTATCACATAAAGTTGACAAAATATTATATAGAATATTCTTATAACTAAGATCTCATTTTGTTTTTACTATTTCTTGTCATACAAAGTACAAAGCCAGGCCATTCTGTGAAAAACTGCTTTCCTGGGTGAAAAGTAGTAATTGTTCCAGGGTTATTGTTCTCTCGAGCAGCCATTCATCTCACTGTAATGATCTCCAGCTTCGCAGGTATGTTCCTGTCTTTATTAATGCTTTACTCTGATCACTTTTCTGTTGAAAGGTTCAGATAAATTCTTAAAGCCATGTATATCCTTACCTCTCCTAATTTGGTAGAGTAGGTGGAGAGGTAAGTATAGTTGGGTAGATCCTCTGAGGTTAGTATGTCTGAGTACAGGGAAGGCTTTGGTGGGAAAAGTTTTAGAACCATACCAATAGTATTTGCCCTTGTGTATGGCCATTGCACAGAACTTGACTGACTGAGAGGAAAAAGGATACCCAAGATTTATTGATTGATAAATTTTTGTGTGTGTGGCACTAGTGTTCAAACCCAGAACTTGAGCCCCATCCCCCACTCTATTGACTGAGAACTTTCGAAAAATTAAACTGATACACTATACTGATATATTATCTTCATTTATGTTCATATTCAATCATCTGTAATTGTATAAATCCATTTGTCTCTTGGAAAGCTTCATAGCATGTCAGAGTGAGTCCTTAAATATGAGACAAAGTATCCTAGAAGTAGAAATATAAAGTCTTACATTTTATCATTATCATAGAAAGTTGATAAAAGTATTATATAGACTGCTCATTATACTCTAAAATCTGACTATTAAGTTATAGTTTACTGTGTATACACCCAGATGAAAAATATCAAGTCCATAATCACCTTTCAAAATGAGCTAATTTCTAGGACTATCAAAATACACATAGGAATCATGGCAGAAAGGAAGGTTGCTATTAGAAGTAGATTTGTTTTTTTTGTTTGTTTGTTGTTATTGTTTTTTTTGTCAGTCAGCGGGGCTTGAACTCTGGGCTTGGGTGCTGTCCCTCAGCTCCTCAGCTCACGGCTAGCGCTCTATCACTTGAGCCACAGCGCCACTTCCAGTTTTCACAGTGGTTTATTGGAGATAAGAGCCTCACACTTTTCCTGCCCCTGCTGGCTTTGAACTGAGATCCTCAGATTTCAGCCTCCTGAGTAGCTAGGATTATAGGCATGAGCCCAGCAGTAGATTTGTTTTTATAGTGGCTTTGCCTTGGTTTAAATTTTCCTCTGTTTACAATTCCTCTCCTAAATATATAAATAGTAACCTAGAGTGATTATTTTTGCATAAATTATCCTTCCACAATCTTCTGAGACTGGTATTTTGCCTATGCAATAAGATATATGGAAATCAAGGTAATTTACATAGAAACCTGGTATTTGCCACTTACAAGTGTTAATATTTGTGAATTTTCTAAAAATGCAAATTATCTGATTGTTTTTAGTACTCCCTTCCGGTACCTACTGACACCTTCTATGCAAAAGGGTGTTCTAAATAAAATAAAGAGCCTTAACTGGGAAGAAATGGAAAAAAGTCCATGCATTCCTCAAATGAATGATTCTGAATTATGTATCCGTATTCCGGGAGGAGGTATCACAAAAGCACTCTATGATGAAAGGTGAGTTTGCTTGAATTTTGTTACTTATTTTATTTAAAAATAAAATTGGTGCCAGGAGCCAGTGGCTCACGCCTGTAATCCTAGCTACTCAGGAAGCTGAGGTCTGAGGATTGCTGTTCAAAGCCAATGCAGGCAGGAAAGTCCATGAGACTCTTATTGCCAATAAACCACTAAGAAAACTGGAAGTGCTACTGTGGCTCAAGTGATAAAGCGCTATCCTTGAGCTGAAGAGCACATGGACAGCACCCAGGCCCAAACTTCAAGCCCCACAACCAACAAACAAAACAAAACAAGATAAAATACAATAAAATTGGCAATGTGGGCTATATAGTGAGACCCTATCTCAAAAGAAAAAAAAAGCTGGGTACTGGTGGCTCTCATCTGTAATCCTAGCTACTCAGGAAGCTAGGATGTGAATAGTACAGTTCAAATCCAACCTGGGCAGGAAAGTGCATGAGGCTGTTATTTCCAGTTACCCACCAGAAAACCAGAAGTGGTGTTGTGGCTCAAAGTGGTAGAGCACTAGTCTTAAGAGAAAGAGCTCAGAGAGGACTGGGAAGGTGGCTCAGTAGTATAGTGCTTGCCTCGCATGCATGAGGCCCTGGGTTCAATTCCTCAGCACCACGTACGCAGAAAAAAGCCAAAAGTGGTTCTGTGGCTCAAGTGGTTGGGCACTAGCTTTGAGCTAAAGAGCTGAGGGACAGTACCCAGGCCCAAAGTTCAGGCCCCACGACCAACCAAAAAAAAAAATAGCTCAGGGACAGTGCCCAGGCACAGAGTTCAAGCCCCACAACTGACAAAAAAAAATTAAAAAGGAGCTGGCTATAGTGGCTCACACCTCTGAATCCTGTCTTTGATCCTGCCTAGTCAAGAGACTGAAATTGGGAGGATTGTGGTTTGATGTCAGCCTGAGAAAAAAGTTGTTGAGCTATGAAAGCTGGACACAGTGGCTTAAGCCCAGCCATAAGTAGAGAATTGTGGAAATGGAACTGGCTCACGTAAAGCACCAGCACTGAGTGAAAAAGCCAAGGGCAGCACCCAGGCCCTGAAATTAAGCCTCAGTACTGGCACACCAAAGGAAAAAAAAAAAGGATTTCAGGCCAGAGAAAAATCAAAACAAAAATAACCAAAACCTTTTTTTGCTTTAGAGGTATGGTTCCAGGGATTGAGGGTTGGCTAGCAAAAACAAAGCCTTGAGTTCAAACTCTGGTATCAAAAAAATAAAAGAAGAAGAAAAAGAAAAAACTTAATTGGTACTATGGCTCACATCTGTAGTCTCAGTTCTCAGAATGCTGTGACCAGAGAATCACTTGAGTGTAGGAGTTCTATATCAGCCTGGTAAAATAGTGAGACCTTGTCTCAAAAAATTACATATACGGGCTGGGAAGGTGGCTCAGTGGTAGAGTGTTTGCCTTGCATGCCTGAGGCCCTGGGTTCTATTCCTCAGCAAACATAAGCAGAAAAAGCCGGAAGTGGCGCTGTGGCTCAAGTGGTAGAACGCTCGCCTTGAGCTGAAGAGCTGAGGGACAGCGCCTAGGCCCAGAGTTCAGGTCCACGACCGGCAAAAAAAAAAAAAAAATTACATATACGTACATACATATATCTATATCTCTATATATAATAAAGTATATTGGATTACTTACTGGACCTTTGGGAATGTATTTATCAATATATTCTATAAAATATCTTCAGGAGAAAGATTTAAATTTTATCTGTAGGTTGGTCTCTGAAAAGCTGCATTTAATACTGTATTAAGTGTGACATCTTAGGAATCCTGATAATTAATATAGCCTGTTAAACTTTTTCGAAAATGGCATTAAAGCCATTTTTGTTCACACCTATAATTCTAGCTACTCAGAAGGCTGAGATCTGAGAATTGCAGTACAAAGTCAGCCCAGGCAGGAAAGTCTGTGAGACTCTTACCTCCAATTAATCACCAGAAAACTGAAAGTGGTGCTGTGGCTCAAGTGGTAGACCACTAGCTCAAGTACAGCACCCAGACCCCAGAGTTCAAGCACCAGGACCTGCACACAAATAAAAAATACTAAGAATATTCTGTGTATAATTGAGAAAAATATAGACTTTTGTTGGTGAGTGGAGTGCTAAAAGTATTCATTCTCTTTGTGTGTGTGTGTGTGTGTGTGTGTGTGTGTGTGTGTGTGTGTGTGTGTGTGTGTGTGTGTCTGTCTGTGTCTGTCTGTCTGTCTGTCTGTCTGTCTGTCTGTGTCTGTTTATCTTGGGGCTCCAAATCAGGGCTTGGGTGCTGTCCTTGAGCTTTTGCTCAAGGATAGCATTCTACCACTTGAGCCACAACTCTTCTACTACTTTGGCACTGGGCCAAAGTAATGATTCTTTACCTTCCATTTTTAACAAAGGGTAGCATTGAAACTTCTCTGGCTTTTTGTGTCACAGCAGTAGTAGAAGCAGTGTAAGTTTCAGACCACAAGCCTTCCTAATGTGTAATTGAAGCAAGAGCATCTAGAATTAAACTTCCCTAACCAGGTGCCAGTGGCCCATGCCTGAAATACTCTCTACATAGCATACTGAGATCTGAGGATCACAGTTCAAAGCCAGCTTAGGCAGAAAAGTCTAAGAGACTCATCTCCAGTTAACTACAAAAAGCCAGAAGTAGTGTTGTGGCTCAAGTGGTAGAACACAAGGCTTGAGTAAAAGAAGCTCAGGGACAGAGCCCAGGCCCAGAGTTGAAGCCCTAGGGCCGGCAAAACAAAAAAAAACAGACCTCTCTGACTCTCAGGACTCATGATCGGAGGCCCATGCAAAGATTGAGAGCCTCTGAAAGATTTAAGGATGGCAAAGTGAGATAATACGAGCAAGGCAAAAAAAACTTTACTTTTCTGTTTGCTAGAGATGGATCTGTGGCCAACCAGCTGAGTATCAAGCCAGTCTCTGAGCTTACACAATCTCCTGTGTATTCTTAGTCTCCTACTTAGGAACTACGTGGTTGTCAGTCCTGTACTCAAACCTTTTCTTTTTTTTTATGTTTTTTATTGTTAAAATACTGTACAGGGGGCTGGGAAGGTGGCTCAGTGGTAGAGCGCTTGCCTTGCATGCCTGAGGCCCTGGGTTCGATTCCTCAGCACCACATAAGCAAAAAGAAAAAAGCCGGAAGTGGCGCTGTGGCTCAAGTGATAGAGCGCTAGCCTTGAGCTGAAGAGCTGAGGGGTAGTGCCCAGGCCCAGAGTTCAGGCCCCACGTCTAGACCCGCCCCCCCCAAAAAAAAAGAGAAAAGAAAATACTGTACTGAAGGGTTACAGCTAGATGGGCAAGGTAATGAGTACATTTCTTATCAAGCATTGTTGCCTCCTCCTTTGTTTTCCCCCTACCATCCCACAACTACATTTCCCCCCTCCCCTCGCACATTTTCTGATAGTTCTAAGAAAATCTGTAAGAAGAACTCTGAATGTTTTTCTTATAGTTCTTGGTTTGGGGAAATAGTTTTGCTTTGTTGGCAAAGCGGAAACTGCACCGACATCGTGTCAACTGATCACTGGCGTTGAGGCCTTTATAGCAATATAGAAAGTTGACAGCTGAAGTTAGACTTATTTTAAATCACTTCCACTCTATACCTTTTCCAGTTACCCAGGTATGGTGGTATACATCTGGAATCCCAGCACATAGGAGGCTGAGATAGGAGGACCTATTTGAGGCTGTGTAGTAAAGCTCTGTCTCAAAAATAAACCAAAAGAACCCCTGTAGGCTAATCATATTTTCAGTCTGCTTTGTTTTATTTGGTAGCTCTGTAGGGGTTTTTTGGTGGCCTTATCCTTGCTGGGAAGACTCTACCACTTGAGCGTGTGTGTGTGTGTGCGTGTGTGTGTGTGTGTGTGTGTGTGTGTGTCTGTCTGTCTGTAGACTCTACCACTTGAGCGTGTGTGTGTGTGTGTGTGTGTGTGTGTGTGCCCTTTCCTGGGGGGCTTGAACTCAGGGCCTAATACTGTCCTTTAGTTTTTTTGGTCAAGGCTGATGCTCTGCCAATTGAATAACAGCTCTACCTCTGGCTTTTGGGGAGCGAACTGAAGATAAAAGTCTCATAGACTTTTCTATCTTAGCTGGCTTCAAAATACAATCCTCTCTGATCTCAGCCACCTGAGTAGCTAGAATTATAGGCATGAACCATTGGTATCCTGCAGTTTCAGTGTCTCTAAGTTTGTTGCCTTATCATAATAGTTCACATGTCCATTGTCTGTGTTATATATATGTCACTGTCTCTGTACTTTGCCACCATGATCTCTATTATTCCTCATGACAGTTTTTGATGTGGATTCTGTTACCTTTCTGAGGATCACTGTTCACACTTTTAGGTAGGAATGTAAGAGTTTGAATCCTGGCATTCTGTCCTGGTTCTTGTTCTGAATCAATTCATTTGTGAAACAGACAACTAGAGCTTCCTCAAGGAGTGTCATACAGATTGATTCATAAAATTTGCGGTGTTTTGCATGTATGAAATACATAACAGTATCCGTAACAGTTTCTTTCTTTATTCCCGTCTTGCACCTTTCCTTCACTACTTTAATAAGAAAGGTGTTATTTTCGTTCAGTCTCTTTTTTTCTTCAATCTTCTGAAGTAGGTTTTGGGAGTAGATCAGAAGGTACCTAATGTGCTATAATCAAGGATAGACAACATGGTTTTTCCTGTACCCTTGGGGTGAGACACCAACTTGCACATTCCCCATGAGGCTACACATAGAATGTTTATGGGGCAATGTAGACCAGCAAATCATCTTAGGATGTTATATCTTTTCCTTGCCTAAAATTTTACCAGGCAGGTTAACCTACTTGTAAAATTAACACACTAGAATCAGCATCTTCTATCAGGGGAAGAATATTAAATTGTTCTTTTTATTTCTTTTAGCTGTTCTAAAGAAATTCAAATGGCAATTCTGCTGAAATTTGTTTCAGAAGGGGATAATATCCCAGATGCGTTAGGTCTTGTCGGGTACCTAAATGAATGGCTTCAGATAATCAAACCATGCGTAAGTTTTATTACAGCATGTCTGTCATTTTTCTAGTTATATATTCATCAACTTGCATTTGCTATATTATATAAGTATACTAGATAAATGATGGGTTGGATCAAAATTTAATTTAAGCCGAATTTCTGAAAATAAGATAATTAGCCAATCTATTTCTTACAGTTGTTTGATTAAAACCAATTTTTCAGAAGAAAGTCTGAGTTCATTGTGTTCGTTGCTTGTGCTACAATAACTATGCCAGACATATTCTTTTAAGAATGAACAGGTAGGACTGGGAAAGTGGCTCATTGGTAGAGTGCTTGCCTTGCATGCATGAGGCCCTGGTTCAATTCCTCATCACCACATAAGCAGAAAAAGCCAGAAGTGGTGCTGTGGGTTAAGTGGTAAAATGCAGCCTTTAGCTGAAGAGCTGAGGAACAGCGCCCAGCCCCAGAGTTCAGGCCCATGACTGACAAAAAAAACAAAACAAAACAAAAAAACGAATGAGCAGGTATTCTGTGAAGTTTAGTATTATTTTAGGGAAATAAAAAGTATTGCTATATGAGTCATAATGAAGACGGTGGATGAGTTCATTGCATCATAGGAATGCAGCGGCTTTTAGGCAGAACGGAAGCACCACAGGGCTGCTTTATATCCTGGGTAACTGATGCTTTTGCTAAGAAAAATGGAAGCTAGTCACTTTGTTTTCCAACTTCTATTCCTTTTTAATTTGATTTTACTTAATAGGCCTTTGTAGCCATTCTGGCATATGTAGATTGTTTGAAACTAGAGTATGTCTTCACTTGATATGAAAACATAGGAACTTATTAATTTTTCCTAACAGTAAGACCTAAAAGTATCAAAACCAGAAGGGAGATACGGCAACAAAACTGAGGGATTAAAGTATTTTGTTCAAGCCGGGGCGCTGGTGGCTCACGCCTGTAATCCTAGCTACTCGGGAGGCTGAGATCTGAGGATCGCAGTTCAAAGCCAGCCCGGGCAGGAGAGACCGTGAGACTCCGATCTCCAATAAACCACCAGAAAACCGGAAGTGGCGCTGTAGCTCAAGTGGTAGAGCGCTCGCCTTGAGCTGAAGAGCTGAGGGACAGCGCCCAGGCCCAGAGTTCAAGCCCCACAGCCGACTAAAAAATAAAAAAGTATTTTGTTCATTTACAGAGTGAAGATCCTACAGCGTCTGCATTACCCTGGAAGCTCCCCAGCTCCTGGAGACTGCTCTTTGGCAGTGGTCTTCCCCCTGCACTTTTTTGATCTGTTGCACCTTTTGTCCCAGACACTTAATACCAACACAACTAACTGTCCAGAGAATATTAGGAAATCCTAACTTGTCACAGAAAATCCCAAAGACAAAGGAGTAATCATAAGGTTTTTTGTTGTTGTTGTTGTTGTGTTTTTTTGTTGTTTTTTTTTTGTCAGTTGTGGGGCTTGAACTCTGGGCCTGGGCGCTGTCCCTCAGCTCTTCAGCTCAAGGCGAGCGCTCTACCACTTGAGCCACAGTGCCACTTCTGGCTTTATCTGCTTATGTGGTGCTGAGGATTTGAACCCAGGGCCTCATGCATGCAAGGCAAGCACTCTACCACTGAGCCACCTTCCCAGCCCCAACATAAGGTTTTTGCCAGCTTTTCCTCACATACAACAAATGTAAATTTTGTACAATAAATTTTATTTCGTAACTTGGTCTGAAAGTATCTTTTTGTTTTTTGTAATCTAGACAGATAGTTTCCATTGCCTACCACATACCAGTCAGTGTCTACTCCAGATCTGTAGGTTAGCTGCTTTACCTCTGTGCCTTGGCTTTCTCATCTGTAAATCTAGGGCATGTAATACTAATGGGCATGGAATCTTCCTGCAGCACTCTGTAAATCAGAATATTCCTTTTGATATGTTCATCATCCTGGATTCTGTAATCTCTTTCCCTCTTGGTGACAATATTGAGTGGGAATTGACATCAATTAGCATTGTCGTTGTAAGCATTCCCACAGAGATACCAATTTAATACGTGGGCCAAGAAATCAGAAACCAGTCAAGATCACTTCATCAAGTGCAGATCCAAATGGCCATGGAAAGGTTAAGGGTCATGTCACTTTGCCTGTGGTTGCCCCCCAGCCAAAGTGACAAACAAGCACGAGCAGAGGACGTCACCAGCTTACAGCTGCTGGATGGCTGGGTTGGAGAAGGCTGGAACGCGTGTCTTTTGGGTAGTGTTTTTCAGAATACTACCCAAGGTACTGGTTTCTCCCACACTTGACTTGAGTCATGGATGGAACAGCCATAGCTTAGTTACCCCAAAGCCACTGAAATCAAGGGCAACTGGTTAGGGAACCCTGGTGGCACTACACCATGCAGGTCCACAAAGGTTACTATGGCTGGGCACAGAAATCCAATTTATAGCTTTTCTCTAAGGAAGAAGAGAACGTAATTCCCATGAGTCTGGCTTTTCAGAGCTTGAGGATTGCTGTCTCAACCTAAGTTGGAAAGTGGCGCTGTGGCTCAAGCGGTAGAGCGCTCGCCTTGAGCTGAAGAGCACAAGGACAGCGCCCAAGCCCAGAGTTCAAGCCCCATGACCGACCAGAAACAAACAAAAAAAAAGACTACTACATCAACCTAAGTTGGATCACTTATGGGAATCTGTGGCGTCTTGATTACAGGGAACCTACAGAACAAAGGCAGTTTACTGCAGCAGCACCAGTGAACCTGCAGTACTGCTAATGGACACCAGAGAGAGTAAGAGATCAGTCTGGAAATGAAAACAGCAGGTTGGCTTTGAAAATATACAAGCCCCAGTCTATCCAAGGGTTCCCTCCTGTACAAAGCTAGGCATTGGTGGCTCACACCTGGATCTTAGCTACTCAGGAGCTGAGGATTGCAATTCAAAGCTAGCCTCGGCAGAAAACTTCAGATTCTCTATCTCCAATTAAACAGCAAAAAGAAAAAAAAAGTGGAACTGTGGCTCAAGTGGTAGAGTGCCAGCCTTGACCAAAAAAGCTAAGGGACAATGCCCAGGCCCTGAGTTCAAGGCCCTGTACCAGCACTCCCCCTAAAAAAAAGAAACTATCAAATATATAAAACTATAAAAACCCTGGGCTGGGAAGGTGGCTCAGCGGTAGAGTGCTTGCCTTGCATGCATGAGGCCCTGGGTTCGATTCCCCAGCACCACATAAGCAAAAAGAGAAAAAGCCGGAAGTGGCGCTGTGGCTCAAGTGGTAGAGCGCTAGCCTTGAGCTGAAGAGCTGAGGGACAGCGCCCAGAGTTCAGGCCCCGTGACCGGACCCTCAAAAAAAAAAAAAAAATATATATATATATATATACACACACCCTAAGGGCACATAAAGAAATATAAACATGGTTCAGTCAAAAGAACAAAATTAAAAATCCCAGGGAGGGGGAGGGGGAGGATGGGAAGGGGAAACAAAGGAGGAGGCTACAATGCTTGATAAGAAATGTACTCATTATCTTGCCCATGTAATTGTAACCCCTCTGTACAGTATTTTCACAATAAAAAAATAAAAATTAAAAAAAAAATCCCAGGAAGAGGCTGGGAAGGTGGCTCAATGGTAAAGTGCTTGCTTACCATGCATGAAGCCCTGGGTTCCAGTCCTCAGCATCACATTACAGAAAAGGCCGGAAGTGGCGCTGTGGCTCAAGTGGTAAAGCGCTAGCCTTGAGCTGAAGAACTGAGGGACAGTGCCCAGGCCTAGAGTTCTAGTCCCACGACTGACCAAAAAGCAACAAAACAAAAATACCAGGAAAAGGGTCTGGGAAGGTGGCTCAGTGGTAGAGAGCTTGTCTTGCATGCATGAGGCCCTGGGTTTGATTCCTCAGCACCACATAAGCAAAAATGAAAAAAGCTGGAAGTGATGCTGTGGCTCAAGTGGTAGAACACTAGCCTTGAGCTGAAGAGCTGAGGGACAGTGCTCAGGCCCAGAGTTCAGGCCCCACGACCAGACCCCGAAAAAAAAACAAAAAAAAACAGGAAAAATAGATCGCTGTTACTTAATGAATTCATTGTCTTTAACAGTGCTCTACAAAAGAAAACATAGGCAACTAAAAACCACAAAATGCATGAACAAAATTGGACCCCTCAAAATGTAACTGCTTCTTTCCTTCTACTATAACAATACCACAGAGTTCCAGGAAAACCCAGTGTAAAACAACCAAACACTGTAAGCCAGAGCTGTTTAGACAGTTCCAGAAGGACACATGCAGTTTATTGACTTACAAAGAAGGTCATAGATGGCAGCAAGAGTGGTGGGTCCTACGACTTGAGTTGGAGGGAAGCTTGCTACTACTGTTTGGATCTTAAATGTCTCCAAGGGTATATGTAATAAAGACGTAATCACTAGCCTTTGGCCCTGTTGGGAGATACTGGAACTTTTAGAAGGTGGACCCTAGTGGAAGGAAGCTGGGTTACTGGGGACATGTTCTTGAAGGTGATATTAGGATTCTGGATCCTTCTCTCCCCCACCCCCTTTGTTTTTTTTTGGTCAGTCATGGAGCTTGAACTCTGGGCCTGGGTGCTGTCCCTCAGCTCTTCAGCTCAAGGCTAGCGCTCTACCGCTTGAGCCACAGGGTCACTTCTGGCCTTTTCTGCTTATGTAGTGCTGAGGAATCGAACCCAGGGCCGCATGCACACAAGGTAAGCACTCTACCACTGAGCCACCTTCCTAGCCCAGATCCTTCCCCTTTCTCTGCTTCCTGGGGAGTAGCTTTGTTCCCATCCCATGCTTGCTACCATGACTGCCTTGCCATAGGCCCAAAAGCAAGTGACCACAGACTGAATCTTCTGTTACCATGAGCTAAGATCTTTGCTCCCTCCAAGTTCATTCTCAAACATTTTGTCACAGCAACAGAAAGCTAACAAGCTTTATATAGTAGTACAGGCAAAGCTTGCTTGCATTCAACCAGAATAAACCTGGTTTATAACAAGCTCACATAAAAAATGTTTTTGTGGCACTGACAACACCAGGATCTAGCTGAGAGCTCCACATATTATGCTAATAGTTTTGTTTATCTGTTGGGCAGGTATGCAAAGAAGACAGGCTAGAATTACTTAGGGGCAGTCACTGCAGTTCTCATTGATGATTGCTGCGGGCCATGCTGGATCGCTGCATACAACCTGGAGAATTTGTAAGGAAATGTATTTCTCACCATTCTGAAGGCTGGGCCATTAAGAGTGTGGTAGTGACATTTGGCAAGGATCTTCACAGCATGCTGATGGGAGACAGAAGGGTAAGAATAAAAAGAGAGCTCACTCTATAACAAATTAACCCATTCCTATGGATGGATTAACTCCATTCCTAAGATAATTGTTTTGTTTTTAGTACTGGGGTTTGAACTCAGGACCTCAAACTTGTTAAGCACTCTACTACTTTTTCAGATAGTGTCTCATGTTTTTTGTCTGGGGCCAACCTCAGACTAATCATCTAACATATCTCCCCTATAGCTGGAATTATAGTGGAGTGCTCCCATGCCTGGCTTATTTGTTGAGATGGGGGTCTTTAACTTTTTGCCCAAGCTGACCTTCAGCCATAGTTCTGATCTCTACCCTTCCCTACCCCCATGTAGCTAGTTAATTTTTTATTTTATTTGGTTTATTTTTTATTTTGTATTGTCAAGGTGATGTACAGAGTTACATAAAGTTACAGTTACATAAAGTAATAAGTACATTTCTTACGAAACTTGTTACCCCTTCCCTCATTTTTCCCCCTTTCCTCTTCCCCCGTCTCCCCTCCACGTTGTACAGATCATTTCCAACATATTGTCTTGTGAGTGTCACTGTTGCATTGGTTTCCGCTTGTCCTTTGTCTCACCATTCTGTTGTTCCCCTTCCCTTCCCTAATGCAGATAAATGTATGTACAACACCAGGGTACCAAAATCAAATACAGTGACAGCAGGGGATAAACCATAGGGGGAAGAACATACAAAAGAAACAAAAAAATCACATAGTGCATTAAAAATAACAAGAGCAAAGAAAAACCTCTTATGTGCATGTCTTGGTGTTCATTTCGCTTAGCTTCATCTTATATGGCCATGTGCACATAGCTATTGAGCTATTCTTCTCATCTGCTAAGATTATCCTAGATGTATACTAATTATTGTAAATAAAGGAAACCATGGGACCTGTTTCCTTGGGTCTGGCTTATTTCACTTAAAATGATTTTTTTTCCAGTCTTTCCATTTGCTTACAAAATATGGGGCTGTGCCATTCTCTCTGAGAGAAGCATAGAATTCTATTGTGTGTGTGTGTGTGTGTGTGTGTGTGTGTGTGTGT